AGTCGAATAAACCAGTCGAATAATTCAGTCGAAAAGTTCAGTCGAATACTTCAGTCGAATAATTCAGTCGAATAAACAAGTCGCTCAATATTAAGCAGCGGTGGCAGCGGGCTAAGATAATATAGTAGCAAATCATGCTCGTAGACATAGCTGAAGGAGCCGAGGCATGGGGTAGGGACCGGGGGGCTTCCCAACTAGTTTCAAGAAATGAAAAGAAATGAAATGGGGGTTTTAACGTCCTACTGTTCTGCTTGGAACTGGGCTTATGAAGACGGGCATACGCCATACACTATGCGATTAGGGAAATTTTGCCCGGACAGCGGCACTACGGCATACTCTTATATCGAATTCCATCTGTCAAGGGATCTTTTACGTCCACGCCAATGTATACACGGGACCTCGGTTTTTTCGTCCCATCCGAAAGACGGGACGTAAAAGATCCTTTGACAGATGACTTGCTACTAATTATCTTAGCCCGCTGCCACCGCTGCTTAATATTGAGCGACTTGTTTATTCGACTGAATTATTCGACTGAAGTATTCGACTGAACTTTTCGACTGAATTATTCGACTGGTTTATTCGACTGGATTATTCGACTGAACTAACTGACTGATTTTATCGACTGGACGAGGCCACATGAAAATGTCAAATACCTCACCCCCCCCGCCCCACCCCATCCCCTTTCTTCGTTCATATCATATATAGGGATTCTATACTTTTCGAGGCGGACAAGGACAGCTGTCTAGTCGTTCGGATGGTATGAAAAACCGAGGTCCCGTGTACACATTCGCGTTGACGTGTATGGCGTATGCCCGTCTTCATTAGCCCAGTTCCAAGCAGAACAGTAGGACGTTAAAACCCCATTTCATTTCTTTTCATTTCTTGAAACTAGTTGAGAAGCCCCCCGGTCCCTACCCCATGCCCCCGGCTCCTTCAGCTATGGCTACGAGCATGATTTGCTACTATATTATCTTAGCCCGCTGCACCGCTGCTTAATATTGAGCGACTTGTTTATTCGACTGAATTATTCGACTGAAGTATTCGACTGAACTTCTCGACTGAATTATTCGACTGGTTTATTCGACTGGATTATTCGACTGAACTAACTGGCTGATTTTATCGACTGGACGAGGCCACATGAAAATGTCAAATACCTCACACACACCCCCACACCCCCCCCGCCCCACCCCATCCCCTTTCTTCGTTCATATCATATATAGGGACTCTATTCTTTTCGAGGTGGTCATGGACAGCTATCTAGTCTTTCGGATGGGACGAAAAACCGAGGTCCCGTGTATACATTGGCGTGGACGTAAAAGATCCCTTGACAGATGGAATACGATATAAGAGTATGCCGTAGTGCCCGCTGTCCGGGCAAAATTTCCCTCATCCCACAGTGTATGGCGTGTGCCCGTCTTCATTAGCCCAGTTCCAAGCAGAACAGTAGGACGTTAAAACCCCATTTCATTTTTTTTTCATTTCTTGAAACTAGTTGGGAAGCCCCCAGGTCCCTACCCCATACCCCCGGCTCCTTCAGCTATAGCTACGAGCATGATTTGCTACTAATTATCTTAGCCCGCTGCCACCGCTGCTTAATATTGAGCGACTTGTTTATTCGACTGAATTATTCGACTGGATTATTCGACTGAAGTATTCGACTGAACTTCTCGACTGGAATTATTCGACTGGTTTATTCCGACTGGATTATTCGACTGAACTAACTGAATGATTTTATCGACTGGACGTGGCCACATGAAAATGTCAAATACCTCACACACACCACCCCCACACCCCCCGCCCCACCCCATCCCCTTCTTCGTTCATATCATATATAGGGATTCTATTCTTTCGAGGCGGACAAGGACAGCTGTCTAGTCCTTTCGGATGGGACGAAAAACCAAGGTCCCGTGTATACATTGGCGTGGACGTAAAAGATCCCTTGACAGATGGAATTCGATATAAGAGTATGCCGTAGTGCCGCTGTCCGGGCAAAATTTCCCTCATCCCCACAGTGTATGGCGTATGCCCGTCTTCATTAGCCCAGTTCCAAGCAGAACAGTAGGACGTTAAAACCCCATTTCATTTCTTTTTCATTTCTTGAAACTAGTTGGGAAGCCCCCAGGTCCCTACCCCATGCCCCCGGCTCCTTCAGCTATGGCTACGAGCATGATTTGCTACTAATTATCTTAGGCCCGCTGCCACCGCTGCTAAATATTGAGCGACTTGTTTATTCGACTGAATTATTCGACTGGATTATTCGACTGAACTATTCGACTGAAGTATTCGACTGAATTATTCGACTGGTTTATTCGACTGGATTATTCGACTGAACTAACTGGCTGATTTTAATCGACTGGACGTGGCCACATGGAAAATGTCAAATACCTCACCCCCCCCCCCCCCCGCCGCACCCCATCCCCTTTCTTCGTTCATATCATATTATAGGGATTCTATTCTTTTCGAGGCGGGACAAGGACAGCTGTCTAGTCCTTTCGGATGGGACGAAAAACCAAGGTCCCGTGTATACATTGGCGTGGACGTAAAAGATCCCTTGACAGATGGAATTCGATATAAGAGTATGCCGTAGTGCCACTGTCCGGGCAAAATTTCACTCATCCCACAGTGTATGGCGTATGCCCGTCTTCATTAGCCCAGTTCCAAGCAGAACAGTAGGACGTTAAAACCCCATTTCATTTCTTTTTATTTCTTGGAAACTAGTTGGGAAGCCCCCCGGCCCCCTACCCCATGCCCCGGCTCCTTCAGCTATGGCTACGAGCATGATTTGCTACTAATTATCTTAGCCCGCTGCCACCGCTGTTTAATATTGAGCGACTTGTTTATTCGACTGAATTATTCGACTGGATTATTCGACTGAACTATTCGACTGAAGTATTCGACTGAACTTCTCGACTGAATTATTCGACTGGTTTATTCGACTGGATTATTCGACTGAACTAACTGACTGATTTTATCGACTGGACGAGGCCACATGAAAATGTCAAATACCTCACACACACCCCCACACCCCCCGCCCCACCCCATCCCCTTTCTTCGTTCATATCATATATAGGGACTCTATTCTTTTCGAGGCGGTCAAGGGACAGCTGTCTAGTCTTTCGGATGGGACGAAAAACCGAGGTCCCGTGTATACATTGGCGTGGACGTAAAAGATCCCTTGACAGATGGAATTCGATATAAGAGTATGCCGTAGTGCCGCTGTCCGGGCAAAATTTCCCTCATCCCACAGTGTATGGCGTGTGCCCGTCTTCATTAGCCCAGTTCCAAGCAGAACAGTAGGACGTTAAAACCCCATTTCATTTCCTTTCATTTCTTGAAACTAGTTGGGAAGCCCCCCAGGTCCCTACCCCATACCCCCGGCTCCTTCAGCTATAGCTACGAGCATGATTTGCTACTAATTATCTTAGCCCGCTGCCACCGCTGCTTAATATTGAGCGACTTGTTTATTCGACTGAATTATTCGACTGGATTATTCGACTGAACTATTCGACTGAATTATTCGACTGAACTTCTCGACTGAATTATTCGACTGGTTTATTCGACTGGATTATTCGACTGAACTAACTGGCTAATTTTATCGACTGGACGTGGCCACATGAAAATGTCAAATACCTCCCCCCCCCCCCCCCGCCCGCACCCCATCCCCTTTCTTCGTTCATATCATATATAGGGATTCTATTCTTTTCGAGGCGGACAAGGACAGCTGTCTAGTCTTTCGGATGGGACGAAAAAACCAAGGTCCCGTGTATACATTGGCGTGGACGTAAAAGATCCCTTGACAGATGGAATACGATATAAGAGTATGCCGTAGTGCCGCTGTCCGGGCAAAATTTCACTCATCCCACAGTGTATGGCGTATGCCCGTCTTCATTAGCCCAGTTCCAAGCAGAACAGTAGGACGTTAAAACCCCATTTCATTTCTTTTTATTTCTTGAAACTAGTTGGGAAGCCCCCCGGCCCCTACCCCATGCCCCGGCTCCTTCAGCTATGGCTACGAGCATGATTTGCTACTAATTATCTTAGCCCGCTGCCACCGCTGTTTAATATTGAGCGACTTGTTTATTCGACTGAATTATTCGACTGAAGTATTCGACTGAACTTCTCGACTGAATTATTCGACTGGATTATTCGACTGAACTAACTGACTGATTTTATCGACTGGACGAGGCCACATGAAAATGTCAAATACCTCATCCCGACACTACCCCCCCCCCCCCCCCGCCCCGCCCCCGCCCCGCCCCCGCCCCATCGCATCCCCTTTCCATGTTCATATCATATATATTGACTCTATTCTTTTCGAGGCGGACAAGGACAGCTGTCTAGTCGTTCGGATGGGACGAGCATGAACTAACTTACTGATGTTATCGACTGAACTAACTGACTGATTTTATTGACTGGACGAGGCCACATGATAATGTCAAATACCTTATCCCCATATGCCCCCCTAACCCAACATATCATATATAGGGACTCTATATTCTTTTGGAGGTGGACAAGGACAGATGTCTAGTCGTTCGGATGGGACGAAAAACCGAGGTCCCGTGTACACATTGGCGTGCACTTAAAAGATGGGGGCATATGGGGATGAGGGAAAAAGTAAAGCATGACTTTATTAAGCCGCGGTGGCAATAACACCTTAAAGTTTTAAAAAATAAACAAAAACAATGATAAAAGATATTGGAATTAGTGCGTTTTTTCTTTAACTTATACTGATTACAAACGATTTCAAAATTTTAATAAGCCATCGACCGGTTTATTCGACTGACTATTTGATTTGGACTTAGGGTCGACTCACGTGATTCAAATATCTAAAATTAAGGACTAAATATTTCAGAAATATAAAACGAAATACATTGCCCTATATCATCAATTACAGTTTGTTAAAAGACAAATCATTCTATACCACCTATAATATATATCATTTTTGTTTAAAAATAATACATATTTTCCATATATTGATCAATCATTTTCTATTCAATACAGGAATTCGTTGCATTTTAAACACCGATGATAGTTTTGAGAACACCACATAGCAACTTGTAAACAAGATGGCGAAGTTTGTCATAGCTGGTGAGCAAATTTGTTAACTTTTGTAACTTAAAAAATAATTCTTTTTTAATTTAAACTTTATCTTTTTGAATTAGATATCAGTAACCTTTCTATCCTAGCACTTGAAATACACATTTAGATTTAAAGAGGAGTATCAGAGTCCCTAAGAAACCTCATTATACTCTGCAAGGCTCCGGCAGCTATTTTTTATTTTAAATGAAATTATTGAAATATACTCTCTTCTCCAGAAGCTTGTTATTTTTCGGAAAGCTGTGCATCTCAGTACTATAACAATACCAAGTTTGTCAAAATCGGAGCCGAATTGATTGAGTTACTGCCCATTTAGTAACGCTAGCTGACAGGACAGACTCCTTATTGGCCATTTTGCTATAATTTTCAACACCACTTCTCTCAGAAACCAAAGTCCCAGAGACATAATTATTTCACCAAAATTAAGCTTATTTACGCATCAACACATCCATGCAGACACATGCAGACAAAGTTTATTTTCTAATATTTGCAATAATTGCACAGAAGATTAAATAACTACGTAAACGTGAACTAGCTTATGAGTAGCTATACCGGCAGCTATTTTTAAATATTAATTTGTTGTCAATAACCTTGTTATTTTCCGTATGCTGCACATCTCAGCATTGTAACAATAGCAAGTTTTTCAAAATTTGAGCTGAATTGATGAAGGTAACTGTCCGTTTAGTAACACCAACTGGCAGCCCCCTTTTTCACAAAATCAGCCATATTTTGCTTCAATTTTCAGTCCCACTCCATATCTGAAAGCGAAAAGAGCTAGAGGCATAATTATGTCCCCAAAATGAAGCTTATTTATGTATCAACACAACCATATAAACACATGACACATAACTTGAATAGTTTATTTTCTGTTGTTTGAAATACTGGTACAGAATATTAAATAATTACTTGAACTTGAACTATACATAATCATAATCAATAATGATACAATATAAATAATCAACACTTTTTTAAAAAAAAAAAACCCAAACTTCGTTGTAGATTATTCAAAACCGAATAAGAATGTGCTAAGAATAACAATAAAATGAAAATAATACCACCCCCCCACAAAAAAAACAAAACAAAAAACAAACGCATGGTGCCGATTTCCAGGAATTGCCACTTTCCATGGGAGTTTCTGTCCTCGGGAATATTTTAGATCACTAATTTTAGTGTTTATTTTCATAATTGTAAGTGAAATTGTGAGCGTATATGCGCATCAGACAATTTCAATAAAAAGGAAAACTTCAACAATTTATTAAAAAAAGCCAACTTACCGCATGTCAACCACCATTAACCAAATTTTCAGACACGCTTGGATACTAGGAGAACCACATCGTTTCTGACCCAAATTCCGTCGGAAAAGTCTGTACTAGCTCAGCAAAAACATACCCAAAAACAGATGGAGTGGGGTTAAAAATCATCCATATCTGAGCGCAACACTGTCTGAGGCCTCTAGCGGTGGTGCCGGTCGCTACTCTCAACCCTCTGTCGAGATAATCTTAGGAATAAGAGACAGTACTAACTACTATACTCTTCAAACAGAAACGCATAGTGACATTTCGTTGTAGGTATACCCTCGCTGTACCATCGCCTCATTGCAACAGTAACTGCTACTCGTTGCTGTGGCCTGTGTATGTGCATGTGTCTGCTGAACCTATTGAAGTGAAGTGAAGTCGGATTTGATGGTGTTGGCATATTCCAAAATAGCAGCTCTAACAGGATGTCTGGCTCTGCGTTGGCAACTTAGGACTATCTGGTCTGAGATCTTATGTCGTCCTGGAATTGCTGCTGTGAGGTCGCTGTTGTGAACCATTACTCCGCAAATGACGTCACCATGCAGGGGGTGATAACCCTTGGGTCAAGGATTTGGACCAAATCTTTTCTGTGAGATAGGTCAGTACCCAAATGAATCCTCACAAAATATTAGATTGATTCAGTTGATACTGACCTGGAAAATTGGAATAATATTTTGTAATAAAAAAATAAGCAAAAAATAGGCAGTTTTTGAACCAAATTTGGATGATCTGCTATTCGGACAAACTTTTGGGCATTAGTAGGACCACTCAGGTCCCTCTTACACACCGAGTTTGAAGTTTCTACTGCTAATTCTACCTTGGTACTGGCCGGATACCCAACTCTCTCTGAAAATTGAATTTAATGAAAACCAATGTTTGAACCAATGTTTGGGATGCTATAGCTCATTCTTTGCAGGGACTAGGACCAAAGTTGAATATAGTGATGCATATCTATGGACATCATTACACAGTTAATATATTCCATTCAGTAGTTAGCAAGGGTGATTTTGACTTAAGAGAGAAATAGGGTTTAAGGTGCACTTAACACAAACTAGGTATTTTTGTGACTAACATATGGTAAAATTTTACTTCAATAATACGCTTGTACGAAAAAAGAAAATCCATGAGGTTGGACAAACAACACTACAATTAATACGTCACCTGCATGCTGTCAGACCATTTATCTCAATGACAGACCTTATGATCTCAAGCCTATTTGTTAGACCAGGGACAAGTTTCATGAATGTCCAATGCAATTTACACAGAATAATTCATCTTATATGAATATGATATGTTAATGAAAAGTGAAATATGATACACAGCTCTTAGGTAAAAGATCACTACGCTGCCGATAGCTGTGGATGACTTGCAGTAGCATCTTCAGTACATTCTTGTGGGTGGAAATGTTCTGTGGAGAACCGGACAACGGAACTGCAATAATTCTTGAGTGGTAAAAAACCATATCAGCTAAGTCCGTGATCACAGACTGTTAGTCGCCCGTGGCTTGAAGACTTGAAGTGTTTCTGGAGGATGTACATGTTCGCTCTTGTAACAGGTTTTAAGAACGAGGGGATTGTAGATGATCCAGCGACATCAAGTCGTAGTCATATGATCAGCAAGATGACTACACAACAAGAATAGGATTAGTGGGTTTACCACTGAGTATCACCTTTTCTACCAATGTTCCTTGTGCTAAATAAATTATTTTGGTCAAAATATTTTAGGAATCAGAACAGCTTATTCCCATCTGTATTTAGGAGCCGATCATTGTATAGAAACATTTGGAAGTTTTCATGGAGAGACATTGGAAATCGGGAGGCTATGATAATTCCATATTGAAATCTCTAAGGAGAAGAGGATATAGGCCAAAAACTGTACTACGAAATAAAACAGTACCCTGGGGTCCAAAAACTTGAAGGAAGGTCAGAGAGCATTTACACTTGAACATAGGCATTTAAGTAAGTAAGCACTTCTGCTCGAACGTAGGTATATCGGAGGTTGGCACATGCAGTTAACTTTATCCTTGTGTGCCATAAATCCTCTTGTGATCTATACCATCTTCCCCTTCAGAGGTTTCAATACCAGACATCAGATGTCCCTACATGAACACTTCAATGTTCCTTCTAAATGGTTTTTCTTTACATGAGCAAGTGTACCAATGGAAATTAATAGATATTAGATATATCAAGTTTATGATATTCATGTCAGTCAATAAATCTATACAATGATCTGCTCCTGAATACAGATCTTAATAACCATGGTCTGATCCCTACAAAATTATACACGTCTTATGACCCTTCCCTATCGCTATCAAGTGAGCCATGTCAGCCCATACATTTATGCACTTCCGTGCTACTAACTACTGTCAGTAGTGAATACAGATGAGAACGGACTGCAAAATTCTACACCAGTTGCGCCCCTTTCCTACGATGACCGCGAACATCCGATTTTGTCACAAAAACTTCACGATTTTTAACCAAGATAGCATATTTGGCACAAGGAACAGTCAAGTAACCAAATATGGTACTAATGTTGATAATCAATGGTCATTTGAACTCTTGAAGATAGTAGTCGGTCATCAGTGAAATGATGAATTTCGTGGAAAATACCGTTTTTACACATTTTTAGAATATTGCACCTCTCTAGTGGGTTGCATTTCGGTCAGTTTTTTTATTCTGACACTTACTTTGAGAAATGCCCTTCACAACTACACCAAGCAATTCTATGTCAGACCTGCAAAGAAGCAGCTACCGGTACATAATATTTCGGGTAGGAGCGTTTTGAAATTAGAGTAAAAAAATTGGTCGAAATATGTCACATTTTGCCCCAAAACAACAATTTCCAGTTATATACCTGAAGTTGTCCATTTAAAAAATTTTCACTTCATCGTGTGACTTCTGTCGCCTAGGGGTCCCCACAGACCAAGTATGGTTGAAATTATCTGACCCCCAGGGTTATTGTTTTTTCAATTTCTGCATTGTCCTTTCGTGGACACGTTCTTAAGCATATAATCCTACCTGACACAGGTACAAATCATCTCTGTTAAATTGAAGCGATTAAAACTGGTAACCCCGCCATTTTAAATTTGACATCTTTATGTCATGAAGGCGGGAAGTCGTGTACTACTACCAATCAAATTACTAACTTGATATGAGTTGCGCAGGAATAATAATACACCGTAATTATGAATGTCCATATCAATTTTGATAAAAACAACGCTTGATTTACTTTATGGCAATATTTGCAGATCAATGAAAGTTGTTTCACTAGATTGGGCAGCATATGTATAATAAGTTCTAATAATAGTATAAAATTAACTTATTTTTAAGATGTTACATTACATGCATGAATAACGAAATTAAAGGAGCTAAATCGCTAATATTTGGGACCTAGAAATTGACCCAAATGGGACGCAACGCATATAATAATGTAATCTGATTGTATATAAACTGATTTACATTCAATTGTTTCCATTTTGACTCTAATTTCAAATCAGTTATGTCCAGCGAAATACGGCATGAGTCTCAACCGAATAGCAATTTCTAGCGTCTGGTTATTCCAATCTAATGCACATGATCATTACCGTTTGACATGAGTTGTGGAATATGTCTAGCCTCGTTCTTTCTGGTCACTCGTTACAAATGACACTGAAACACATTATGGTATACGATTCGTGTACCAATGATAAAATGTTTATTTTGTCTTAAATATTGGATATGAGAAGCCTACCTTTTCCTGGTAAAATGACAACATCAATGTTGAACGTGTAAGAGTTTGGATTATATGGAGTTAGCTTAGCCACATGAAACTAAAAGCACCCAATCGGAGGCAAAAAAACAAGCACATCAGTATATCTCAGCATTTTTAGCTACGTTCTTGTAGCTACAGAGTCCCATCCATGCAAGGATGGATTTGAAAAGCTCACTAGAATTATGTAACATAATAGTGCCCCAGATGACCATAGAAAATAAATATCTCCATTTAAAGTCTAAATTAAAAAATATATCCATAATTCCCACAGTTATAACAAACTGTAACTTATTTTCTCCCATATATGGTCTCTAAATAAACGATTATTTTGTACTAAGTTATAACGATTTTTAAAGTGGAATAAAATATGGACTGAAATCTTAGTGAAGAAATGATTTATTATTCAAGTTATTGTCTATTTAATAATTAATACTGGTATATATTATTTTTTTTATTTATTAAAGGTCGTGATGATTGTCCATATTATGCTAAAGCTGAGCTCCTCGGCGACAGACTTAATAAAAATCTACCTGATTTTAACTTACACAAAATAGTGAAAACTAAATCGGAATGGGAGGTATTATACAATTTTATTTTTTTAGATCTCTGATTTGATTTATACACCCACTACATTGAAATGTGGTTGTTCATGGTCGTCAAGGTTCCGGTGTCCGGCATCCACAATATTGCTTGTGGACGCTCTAGAGGCTAAAGTTAACTAATTAACTTAAAATTTATAAGTTTACAGTCTGTGTTTGTGGTCTTGAGAAGAGGAACCCTATTTAATTTCATGGATTTCCCATAATTACTGCCAGATCATTTTTAGAGACTAACGTTATCAATTGACTTTAAATTTATACATAGTGTTTATGATCATGAGACAAAGAAGCTGATTAATTTTCAGTGGTTTTCGATAATTACTGCCAGAGTTATTGCCTGTTATAACATTGAACAATCCTATAGATGTTCAAGATTATAAATTTATTTTTCAAGTCCTTTATTTTTACACATCAAGTTTATTATCATGAAATGAAGAAGTCTACAGTTACTTTCAGAGTTAATAACCTTGATCACTTTTAAAAATCTTTGGTGGATTTGAAATTAATAACATTTAATAATTTATCATTGTTACATGTTTTGTGTAATAAATAAATGTTAACTTCTAGAAGAACTAAAAGCCAATAAAATTTAATTACTTGTGGTTAAATTTAACGATGTGGTTAAATAATTTAACGATGTGGTTAAATAATTTAACGATGTGGTTAAATAATTTAACGATGTGGTTAAATAATTTAACGACATCGTTATATTTAACGACTGAAGAAGTCTGTTGTTCATCGTGTCGTTAAATTTAACGCATGGTTATGTCATCGTTAAAATGGTCCATATTTAACCCACCTAGCAGGGCATCGTTAAATATTTAACCTGTCGTTAAATCAGTCAAGGTGACTGCCAGTCAAGTTCTCATGTCAAGTTTCCCACTTTTAACATGAAAAAAGAAGGAAATGAAATGAAACCGTTTAACATCCTACCGTTCTGCCCCGACTGCGCTAATAAAGACAGGCATACACCATACAGTGTGCTATGAGGGAAATTTTGCCCGGACAGCAGCGCTACAGCCTACTCTTATCTCGAATTCCATCTGCCAAGGGATCTTTTACGTGCATGCAAATGTGTACACAGGACCTTCCCAGGTCCTCCGTCCTACACACCGAAAAATTATGATGAACTTTCTTAGCAAACACCAGGAGCGAACCTGTGACTTCCAGGCTAGCAAGCCAGCGTCTAACTCACTGTGCCACAGTGGCTCCCGAAAGGAATGTATACAGGGGCACCTTTAATAAGTTCAAGTTCAAAAGATTCCTTCTGATTTAACATCTTGATACATGCTTGAAGAAAAAGTCATTTACCAATATATGAAATCGTCTTGACATTCACCTAAAATGCGCAACTAATAACCAAAGAAGTGAAGCAGCAAGTATTCATTGCCATGTGCTTTTATGCAAGTGGGTCCTTTCTCTAAATCAATGACATTGTGCACAAATAGCCCAGTTTCCCCATTGCTAGGTAATCCTGGCCCAATGACATCCGAACGACTACATATGTAGTCGCTTTTAAAAAGAAAATAAACAGATTTCTTCAGCAAAGATAAGTAATTAATAATTTACATGCATTAGGATTTATTGTCAATATTGATGGTTTGGTACATGAATATTTAGAACTTTTTGATCTTTTGTATAATATAACCTCTGCCTTCTGTAATTCTATGTTAGAATCATGTAACTTCTTTATGTAGGCTATAATGGTATGCAGTCTGTGTGTAAAGTTGGAAGTAGATCTTGGTTCACTTGAAGATAGACCTAGATGTCATGATACGTCTATGTCCTTTAAATATATAACTCCGGGAAAATCGTAGCACAAATCTGAAATTTCCTCGGTTCTCATAGATAGAAGATTATGGTCGACTGGACAAAAACAACTGTTTCAACAAGGCAAATAACCACCTATAAATATTGGTGTCTAGGCATACAGATTTTCATGGTCATGGATCTTCGCCACCTCAAAAGTAGGCTAGGGTGACAAAAATGTCCATCACACTATTTTCAAATTTCATCTTATATGAAAACACATCCCTGAAACACATAAAACAGTAGAAAATCAGTCACAAATTAATTAAAACTATTTGGAGGCCTATCCTAATTAGGCACTGTCTATATACACAATTTTGTTCCATTTTTTTTTGGCAGCATCACTAACTAAGCAAATTTTACTAGTTTTTATCAAATTCCGACTACCACCTAATTAATAAAATCATTAGTGACAAGAAAGGGCTTAATAAGATGAAAAGATGATTATGGCAGCTGAAATACGCCACATAATAAGGAATGCCAAAATTGACACTTCATTATATTATCCATGTTTACATTCATTGACATCACGTAGCAACCATTGTCCACTGAGGCATCACATAATTTTACAGGGCTTTTTGGTGGATGTAAGCCTCGAATAACTTTTGTCTGAACGGGAACTAATAAAAATAGTGTCAAAGGTCTGCAAATAAGACTTTAAAAAGCTAAAAGAACAACTTACCACATTTTACAAGAGGGGGACTTTACAAGCGAAACAATTTTTGTTGTCAAGAGTTACCCTTCTCCAGTCTCGATTAGCAGGCCACAACATGTCATTGAAGATTGACGTAGTGCTGGCTAAAAACACCACATGAAGACTAATTTCCCATTCAGCTAAACATCTTTAAACATTAGAAAATTTTGATGGAGGATATCAATTGGTTTTCTTTTGCCCCCCCCCCACTCCCCTGCAGTGTCATCCATCTTGAATTGGTTGCTAGTAAGGAGAATTATGGGATACTAGTTGAATGGTTAAATTTTAACCATATGGTTATCGAATGCTTAAATTTTAACCATATGGTTACATAACAACGTCGTTAAATGTAGTTGAACAACACAAATTTAACCACAGGTTATGTAACGATTAGTTAAATATATAACCCATGGTTAAACGTAACCACATGGTTAAATTTAACTAAAAGTTGAACAACCGGGCCCTGATGAGTTGTTACTCTAGTCTTGATCAGGGCCCTTATTCACGAAAACTTAAACTAAGATACAATCGAAATTTTAAGAAATACTGCAATTCGATTGGCTGACCAATATGCAAATTGGATATATGCAAATTGATTTTACTGGTCAGCCAATCGAATTGCAGTATTTCTTAAAATTTCGATTGTATCTTAGTTTAAGTTTTCGTGAATAAGGGCCCAGTATTTTGTGTCGCGTGTATGTCTCCATTACCTACATTACCTACATAATAACAAATATTTGAAAACCTTTGTTGACTGCCTGGATGTGTTTGCTGCTGTGGGTGTATGTTTTATTGCCTGGCACCCTATCTTCTCTTGTTCTGTTGTACATGTTCTAGTAGTCATTGTCAAAGGATGCTATAACTGTAAAACAACTGTCTGTCATCAGTGCCATGAGCTCAAGATCTGTAAGATGGTTGTGTATATTGGACAAAAGAGAATGTATACAGATAGACCTACAAATAATTTAAGATCACTTCGAACTGTAAGATTTAGATAGAGAGCTGACCTTTATGTTACAATAAACATAGTTAAAAAAAATATATAATGAAAAATGAATATATCAGGCAAATTGATTCATTCTGAGCAAAGTTATGAATGTCTTAAATGCAACATTTGCCTTTTTTGCTAAAATATCAAATTTCCCATGGCTTAAATTTAATATTTAATTAAGTAAACAAAATCAAAATACTAATAATTACCAATGCTGGATAATCTCTTGGCATGGATTTAATCAAATTAGAAACAGGCCTACCAATAAATTTTTGCAGACAACAAAAAGGCGACCTGTTTAGCGAAGCTTGAATAGATCGATGAAATTTCAGTTACACACATCTTTGTAATACTGAATGAAATTAAACTATTTTTGGACTGCGATAGCCCTATTTAGAGATTCATCTTTCACATTATCGGTACTATAGTTTGCATCAGGATTATGTGTTTGGATAAGAAATAGCCTAAATTTAGTCTATGCCGATTAATGGTTCACATTCTCAATTGCCAAGTACCAATGCTACGATAATAAACAAAGTATTGATTTTCAGTCCTTTTATTATCTAATCCACTCGATATCTAAGCCATCTGATGATCCATTGATTGAATATGGGTTTGTCATGTGAATAAATGCAGTTTTAAATAATAATTTATATAACATTTTAAGTCAGAAAAAAGATCTGTAGATATAGCTCTTGCATAATGCCTCTTTAAATTTAATAGTGGGTGATAGAACTGCTTCCAGGGCAAGATGGAACTTGGATACTGCATCAGAATGTTGGGCCATGTTTTAAGAGTTTTAATGTTTTATATTCATATAGTTGAAATTCTATTTTATTTCTTTAGACTTGGTTGTCTGATACTTGTTCAGAAAGAGGCTGGACTGCAAATAAATCTCCTTTAGTATGGAGAGAATTATTGGATCGGGGTGGAAAAGGGGTCCTGATTGGTGGAGCTAATGAGTTTCAGGAGTATGTTAATGGTTACTATGGAATCCAGTCAAGTATGGTTAGTGATGATATGAGAAAAATTGCTGAAGAAAATAGTCGAGTAAAGGCTGAGGTGGATGCAGAAGAGGCAGCATTTAAAGCTCAAAGTAAACCATTACATATCTGTCTTTCTAATGCGAATAATCCCATTTGTTATCAAATGATTAAAGATTTGGCATCTGGAGAAGCATTTGGTTCATCTAATGAAATAACTTTACGCCTACTAGATGAAAATGAAGAAAATGCAGAGTCATTATCCGGTTTAAAAATGGAAGCAGAAGATTTGAATGAAAATCTTTTAAGAGATGTCATGGTAACTTCAGATCCATGTGAAGCATTTAAAGATTGTAGTACAATTTTACTCATTGATGATTTACAGAAGAAAGAGGATGAAACTCAACAGGACTGGTTGAAAAGAAATGTTGAACTTTATGTGAAATATGCCAAAATAATCAATGAGGTGGCAAAGAAAAATGTCAAAGTAATGTTGGCTGGCAATGGGCCTGTTAATTTGTGTGCAACAATGATGATTCGAAATGCTCCAAATATTCCTCGACAGAACATAGTAGCCATGTCGAGAATGGTAGAAAATTATGCGAAGTCAGTGATTGGAGGAAAATTAAACCTTAATACATCATGTGTTTTAGATTTACTCGTCTGGGGAAATATCAATGGTGTGAAATACGTGGATGTGTCCCAATGCAAAGTGACAAATTATGATGGTGCCATTTGGGGCCCACCATCTTTTACCCTTCCAGCGGTAGAATTGATTCATGACAGTAAATGGATTGAAGGAGGATATTTAGAATTGTTAGATAAAAGAAAAGACACCGTGACAGAATCATTACATCATCCTCCAGCAGTTGCCTTTGCATCTGCTGTTATTTCTATGTTGAATCACTGGTGGCACGGATCTCCACAAGGACAGCTGTTTTCATTGGGTGTTTATTCTGATGGTATGTATATTTAGACCAGGAGCCCAGGGGGTCAACCTAGCTGAAAAGTGCACCAATTTTCTTATATATGGTATCAATGTATGTGTATCTGGTATCATCAGAATGTAAGTCTGCCGCGTTTCTGGTGGTGGGTGTGGTATTCCACGCCCTAAATGCCATGACCACCAACTGGGCTAAATTAGCTCAGTGATACTCCATCACTTCAAATATCTGGCAATTACATAGCTCTGTCAGGGGTACCCCACAACTAGAAATGTCTGTCAGAGTGTTTTTGTAATACCTGAAGATGTACGGTACTTTGCTGTGCGATTTTCATGTGGTACACTATTGAGCTAATCTAGACTAGTTGGGTGGCATGGCAGTTTGAGTGTGGAATACCACACCCACCACCAGAAACCCGGCAGACTTACTTTCTGATGATACCAGATATACATACATTGATACCATATAGTATAGGAGAAAATTGGTACACTTTTCAGCTAGGTTAACCCCCTGGGCTCTCGTTCTAATTATTAGTAGTATTTAAAACTAAATAACACAAATTTATGTATCTGTACATATGCTGTCTGATATTTGCTTGTGCACTGTCTTTATTTGGATTTCTCATTTTTAATTTAAAGACATTTATTATAAAGATATCATTTTTTTTTATCCTGCCCCATGATCTGAACAATCAGTTTCAAGGAGATCATAACTTTTGTGAAGAGTGTTGACAGGTTGTACAAAGTAAACAAGGGCAGTGACTGATTATCAGAAATTCAATAGGTTTGCACAGATCATAATTTCAAGCAGATTGCATATTGTTGCTATATTATTGTATCAAGTAGATATTGGAAACACATGTAGTTTAGCTTCAACGATTTATATTAATTTTAAGTAGATCATATAACTTTTGTCGATAAGTGAAATAAATTAGAAGTGGTATCATGTGTTTTAGAAAAGTAATCATGCCGTGCTTGGCTTATGTATCTAAAAGCTTATACAGTAGTCTTTTCAACAGTTGCTAAAGTGAATAATGATGCACATGTTATATATTTTAGGATGGTATGGTGTACCAGAAGGTTTAGTATTTTCCTATCCTGTAACTATGCATCCTAAAGGTTATTGGAATGTGGTACAAGATGTTAATATACCTGATGAAGTCAAAGAAAAACTACAAAAGGCTGTTAATGTAAGTATATAGCTAGTGAGTGAATGTCAGAGTCACATTTAAAAAGTCAAAAAAATTTTAGTACCCTTAACTTCATTAGCTGTTATTTTACATGGGTTTGCTAGATACATGTAGCTGGAAGGTACTTGCATTAGATCTAGGCTTTGAATGATAAGCAGTTTCACTTGGACATGTATAGATTCATGTGTTAATAGCTTGATTGTGTAGTTCTTGGAAGATCAATTAGCCTTGTACGGTAACATTGCCACCAACTCTTCATTCAATTCAATCTGTCAAGGTATTTTTCATGTGTACTCCAGTGTGTACACAAGTGAACGACTAAGCAAGACATTCCATATCAGCCCCATAGGAGCTACCTCTGATCAATAGGAACTAGGCATAAAAAATCCAAGGTTTTTCTCTGCCCACATTTGGATTCGAACCCGGGAGTCCTGTGCCCCTACTGTACACTACCGTGACCCCTCAATGACAAAGACTTGGACATCAACTGCCCAATGTCATTGGTTTATAATAGTTCCTTCTATATGCACATAAATTGAATAATGTGTTTAATTATCATATCTTGTTCCAACAATGAAATAGATAGATAGTAGTTGTGTTGACTGGATATAAAACCTCATTTCCTCTCTCTCCAGTTTTTACTTAAGTGTAAAACTGTGATAATAAGTGATCACATGTTTTTTTATTATAATTTTAGGATATACAAGGTGAAATAGATTTATTGACAGCCACACCACCACCACCACCACCACCACAGATGGCAGAAAGTGAAACACAGGCAGGAGAATCTGTTCTAACAGAAGCTGATTCTGATGGAGAAAAGAAAGTGTTTGGATTAGCACTTGAACAAGAAAATAATGATACAGGTAAGTCCTACTTCTACAACAGCTGACCTAAGAAGCAGTAACTCAATGAACTAGTGACAAAACCAGGATTATCCAACTGCAGTATGTCCTGGGTATTGAACATAACCAACAGAAATAACTGTATCTTAGCATCAATCAGAGAAACTTGGCTCACAGAACTTGGATTTGAAAGGACATTCGTTAAATTTTCAGTATTTTATGTTTGCCCATGTTGCTTCCACTGGTGAACAGTCACACCAAGTTTTCTTCAAAAATTGAGGAGGTTCTGTGATCTGGAGAGTGGGGGGGGGGGTACTTTAATTTGTATGTGACAAGGAGTAAATTTTAATCTTCCTAAACCATACTGATTTGTGAAGAGTGTCATGTGTTGTATATTTTTAGATTTTTTTAGTTTGAAAACATAAAACGAGAGGTGATTTAATCCATATTTTGAAAAGTTTCTTCTTTTTTTTAAATGAAATTGGGTTTTCTTTTTTCTTATATAGATAATATTGAAGAAAATATGGAGGAAATTAAAGTAGAGACAGAAAATGTAGATGAAAAGAAAGAAGAAAGCGCAGAACTGGTTGAAAATGAGAATCTAGATGAAAAGAAAGAAGAAAGCGCAGAAAGGGTTGAAAATGAGAATCTAGATGAAAAGAAAGAAGAAAGCGCAGAACAGGTTGAAAATGAGAATCTAGATGAAAAGAAAGAAGAAACTAAGACCACAGAGGTTGAAAATGAAAATGTTGATGTTTAATCTTAATATTGATCCATATAAATAGTTATCATAAACAAATCATAACTGTAAAAAGATGGTTCACCAGTTTCTATATTCTAATAACTAAAACATATCTACTCAACAACTTCTACCCTTAATTAATGTATGTGTTAGTGAGTGACGTCATCACTGCCAATAGATCTGTCACTGCAGAGTCTCTGAGGTCATGAATGTAAATGGTCAATTTTGTTTGTTAGTGCTCCTAGATTACTGCTAATTGTAGATTAATGTTATCTAATGTACAATTGTGTCTTAATGTTTTTTAATGTACAATTGTCAGTTCTGAAGGCATCATTGACAATCATTAATAATTATTTAGGGTGGTGTCTGCAGCATAGGGTCTGGAAATATTTTCGGGTAGTAGCCATTGATATCTAGCTATTGTGAGAATAGAGATACAGGTGTACCATCTCCTTTAAAGATGCTCAGTCAAAATCAAAGATATTTATTGGATACTCTTTGAATTTGTACTGTAAAATGAGCCATCATTTGACAATGTTGGGTAAATCATATTAAAGGCCCAGTACTTTAATATTTGTAGATGTCAACTTACACATAGTTCTTTTCTGGTAGAATGTTTTGTGAATTAGAATATATGATATGTACAAACACACATTGCCTGGGGGGAAATGTCTTGTCACAGTGCAAATATATCATTCTGAATAGCTCTATTCTGTCAGAATTTAATTTATAAAGATGTCATTAATATGAATTTGTTTATATAAAATATTTAATATTGTATTACATTGTAAAACTGTGATATTTTGTTACCTGGAATATGAAATATTTGTATTGTGATTTTAAATATACAAACTGTTTTATTTTTAAGTTTTATGGAAGTTTTATTTTATAGCTGACAGCTACTGTGTTTTCTTTATCAATATGATCTCTTCTTCAAAACTAAAACATTAGTATCCAAATTTATACTACATTTACATTACACGTTTACATTTAAATTCAAATTACGGCATGGTTTGTGTTCAATTGATCTGATCGCTTTCCTAGCCAGGGAAAAGATGCTTTGTCTAGACTTCAGGAGACTTTATAAGGAAGTAGTTAGAAATTCATCAAATGTAAGCCAGCCAAATTAAAATTACCAAAAATTTAGAGAAAAATGAGGTTTTATGTCCATGCGACACAATCTAAGTCATTTCGGGACTAACACAAGATGTAATTTTATTTCTACGGTGGGAGGGAACCGGAGGACCCAAAGATAAAAGTTTGGCAGGTGACTCTACTCATTGTCACATACAATCTTTGGATTAAAAGAAATGAAATGGAATGGGGTTTAACGTCCTACTCTTTGGATTAAAACCACGCCACTTGAAATGAAATGGGTTTAACATCCTACTCCGACTAGGCTAATGAAGACGGGCATACGCCATACAATGTGCTATGAAGGAACTTTTGCCCAGACAGCGCCGCTACGGCAAACTCTTATATCGAATTCCAACTGCCAAGGAATCTTTTATGTGCATGCCAATGTGTACACAGGACCTCAGTTTTTCGGCACATCGGCCCTCTGTCCTGCACCACTGACAAGGGGAAACCACGCCGTAAAATCCTGATGAACTTCTTGGCCAACGCAGTGATCATACAGTTAACCTCCATGTTAGCGAGGGGGGGTTGGATGGCCGAATGGTTAGCATGTGTGGGCTGTATCATAAAGCCTGTCATTGTGTCAACTGGCGTGGTTTCGATCCCCGGTTGTACATGATAAGGAGTAGGGGCGCCTGTCCAACCTTGGGGGTTTTCTCCGGGTCCTCCGGTTTCCTCCCACTGCTAAAGACCCCAACGCGCTAGCGAATTATTGAAATAAAATTAAACAATATGTTAGTCCCGAAATGACGTAGTTTGTGTCGACTGGACGTTAAACCCCATTTCTCTCTCTCTCCATGTTAGCGAGCCAACATCTTACTCCTGGTGTTTATTTGGATTTTTGCCGTGGTTCCCCCTATGTCAGGGGTGTCTGGCAAGGGATAACATATAGTACAGTTGTTAGGATGGGACAAAAACTGAGGTCCTGTTTACACTTTGGTGTGCACATAAAAGAACCCTTGCCTTGACAGTCAACATTTGATATAAGAGTAGGCCATAGTGCTGCTGTCCCAGCAAAATTTTCATCAAAGCACACTGTATGGTGTATGCCCATCTTCATTAGCCCAATCAGTGTATGACATTAAACCGCATTTCATTTCTAAAGTGCACACATTGGATGACTTGACAACAAACGCCCACCCTAGCCTGCAAGGAATGTATGAAACTTCAATATGTATTTACACACACATGGATCCTTAAAGATACATTATGGGAGATTTTTATAGAGAGTTGGCCATTCTTGCTATAACAGTTCAAAAGTAGATGATGAAAGAAGAATATATTGAAAAATTCAGTCAAATTACTTTATTCTGAACATAGTTATCATTGTTGTAATATTTGCCTAGAAATGGTAGCGAATTGTGTCTTCACCTTCGCTGATCGTTTGATTGACAGGCGTTAACTCCACCTACATATCTCGATTATCAAGTAAAGTTTTCAATGGCATACCGAAACGCTTTACAGCAGCCTCGCTAAGTACACTCTATCATTTAGCCTCGATCTAACTGACGTATTTTCATCAGGTTATCCCTTATTTGATTTAATCAATTAGTGAAATCCTATTTAAATCCGAGCTGTAGCCGAGCCATCCGTGGGTCTACAGAGTTGATTTTGGTCTTGTTGTTTAAATAAAGATCTAATTTATAATTTCTATAACATCTGAAGCCTAAATTAAGACTTGCAATAATCAGATTTAGCTCTTGCATAATGCATGTTTAATTAAAAGGCTGTGGGAGAAACTAGTACATTAATTTTGTGATGGATACACTATAGCCAGGTTCTTCATGCATCTTTTTATGTTTAAATTATGTTAATTTTACACATACCAGTTACAGGTGAAGTACATATATTTTGTAGACTTTGTTCATACCATATTTCTGGAGACAAAAAGATCTGCTTCAGATTTATAAGCTATGAACCAGATTGTAAAGATATTTATTCAAATCCTGAGAAGCTGGATTAATTCCCTCAAATAAATTACAACTCCACACTAAATAAAATTGAAATCAATTTTACTGAATAATTTAAAAAATTATTATTTAATCTTATCAAGAAAACAAAGCAAACGTAACATACTATAATTGACCTAAATATCCTATAACTATTCCGAAGATTTTGATTTCGCTACAGCCTCTTTTATACCAGTTTTGATATACCGAATTATGTCCAGCAGTTTAGGTTTACCAGACAGTATGGTGTAAGGAACCTGAAATAAATAGAAAATATGACACTAAACACAAAGTAAAATTATTAAATCTTGGACTGTTAAAAAATAATTTAAAAAGAATAAAGGAAATGAAATGAAATGGGGTTTAACGTCCTACTGTTCTGCTCCTATACTGGGCTAATGAAGACGGGCATACGCCATACAGTGTGCTATGAGGGAAATTTTGCCCGGACAGCGGCACTATCACCTACTCGTATATCGAATTCCAACTGCCAAGGGATCTTTTATGTGCATTGCAATGTATACACGGGACCTCGGTTGTTCGTATCATCCGAAGGACTAGACAGCTGTCCTTGTCAGGCCCTCAGTCCTGCATCACTGTCAAGGGGAAACCACGTCGGAAATAAAAAGAATAAGGTTAGCAGGAAGTATAAGAGAAATATAATTAGTACTATTATTCACTAATAATTCTAATGCTGATCAATATGATAAACATAGCTAGTCTTCGTTGCTGTTAGCAACTGTAGATGTCGGTCCTGTTTAAAGCTACAAGACTGTTTCGCAAATTTTATCCAGTAGTTCTGGTAAACTGGTGTCCAAAAGGAGAGTTAGTGCCATTTGAAATTTCAATTTTAAAAATGCTTATAAAATTGGTCATGCAAATATATCTCTAAGGTGGATGGCATGCATGAAAGAATAAGACTGCCTTTTACTAAATATTTAGGATGCAGAATTAGGTAAATTCCAAATCTCTATATCCCAGTAGATATTACTTACTATAACAACTCTATATCCCATAAATTCTAGATGTCTTATTGTCATTGACATTATTCCAGTCGGTCCTTCTGTTTTCAATGTTGTATCCGAAAAACTCTGAATCTTGATACAAATTCTGCAATTTAAAAGAATAAGACATAAAATCAGAACTATTCATTATATAGAGAATAACATGTATGCCCGGAGCAACAAAATAGTCACCCCTCAACAGTTTTTGTCCATCATTCAAGTGATACGAGGAAGACTCTGTTTTGAAGACTAAAACCCCTTATTTCAAAAATTTAATTGAAACAGAGCATTGCCATAAAGTGATTATTTAAGTTTTTTTTAATTCAAAAATCAATCTTGTTGTCTTTTAAACTGAAAACTACATGACTTGTCAGGAAACTTTCATACTTATCATATTTCTTTATCAAATATGAATGAAACATGAACCTAACACTGAATATAAATAGTTATTAGAGAATGATTGTGTGAAAGTAAAATAATGTAAAACATACTTGTGATGTTTGTCTGTAATATTGTTTAAATTCTGTGGATTTCCATCATCATCTACATACAAAATAGCCTCTGTAAATATATAAATATAGACATAATTATTAACAAGCACCTATTTATTTCCACAAACCAAAGAAAATATAACCGTAACAATTGGAATCTATGGTTTTGACATCAGAAACTTCACTGACCTGTAAACAAGGAAGATAATTCGGATCAAAATATTCTCAAGTTTTAAATTATCAAGATTGTTTTGTAATCCTATTTCATAGCTGACTGACATCAGCACAAGGTCATCAGCAAAGAGCAGATGAGGGAGACAGGTAGTATTTAATATAGGGCAATTATTGCTGCTTCTAGAATTATCTCAGTATTTAGATTATTGATATAAATATTAAAAAATGTAAAATTTAAAACACAGCCTTTCTTAACTCTGTTGGTACAATCATTGATATTCGAAATGGAGTTGTTATTTTTTACCACATAACGTTTATATATACATGTAGACTTAATCAATTCAAATATTGTTTCATGCGTTATGTTTCAATAATTTAATAAGGAGGCCTTCGTGCCAAACTGAATCAAAAACTTTTTGAGAAATTGACAAAGCACAAAAAGAGAGATGAAAACTTTTGAGAAATCGACAAAGCACAAAAAGAAAGGTTTCTTGTATTTGTTAATTAGTCGTAAGAATGAACATATTATCTGCGCTTGGTAAAACATGTTATTTTATTAAATATATTTAGATATATCGTTATGCAGCTTTCTAGCACAATTTCACAATAGTTATTCATGTCCTCTATGCCCCCACCCCCTTCTTGTGTATTGAAACTATGAATGATTCACACCATTGATCAGGAATACTACCAGTTTCAAGAAGAAATTGAAATTTTTTTTTTTATACATACATCAATCATATAAGCATCTCATTCAATATCAAATTGGGTCCACATGACTTATTCATATGACATCAATAGTAGCAAGTGATTTAGTACCAAATGGGCACTGAATGCTATTGAACAAAGTGTTATTCTGTCTGTCTGTCTGTCTGTCCGTCTGTCCGTCACACTTTTTGGGACACAATAACTCTCCTTCTAATTGAGCTAGAATGTTCAAACTTGGTGTAGGTGTTTATTAGGTCAATGCCTTGATGGAGTTCGAAGATGAACATTTTCTGCTTAGGGTAAGCAGAGATAAGCAATATGATTGATGTTTTGGGACACGATAACTTAGTTCTATTTAAGTGAGAGTGATGAAACTTGGTGTATAGTTTTATTACATCAATACCTTGACTAAGTTCGACAATGAGCATTTTCTGCTTAGGGTAAGCAGAGCGATAAGCAATTTCATTGGCTGAGACTTTGGAACACAATAACTCTCTTTATAATTGAGCTAGAATGTTCAAACTTGGTGTAGGTGTTTATTAGGTCAATACCTTGACTAAGTTCGACAATGAGCATTTCCTGCTTAGGGTAAGCAGAGTGATAAGCAATTTGATTGGTCGAGACTTTGGAACACAATAACTCTCATTTTAATTGAGTTAGAATGTTCACACTTGGTGTAGGTGTCAATTAGGTGAATGCCTTGATGGAGTTTGAAGATGGGAATTTTCTGCTTAGGGTAAGCAGAGATAAGCAGTTTGATTGTTTGATGCTTTGGGACACGATAACTTTGGTTCTAATTAAGTGAAAGTGAGGACACTTGGTGTATAGATTTATTATATGAATACCTTAACTCAGTTCGATAATGAACATTTTTTGCTGAGGGTAAGCAGAGTGATAAGCAATTTGATTGGTCGAAACTTTGGAACACAATAACTCTCCTAATTGAGGTAGAATGTTCAAACTTGGCATAGGTGTCTATTAGGTGAATGTTTAAACTTGATGAATATGTAGATGTTCATTAGGTGAATGTCTTGACTGAGTTCAATAATTAACATTTCGAGCTGAAGCTAAGCAGAGCTAATCGATTTCATTTGTCGATGGTTTGGGACAAGATAATCTTGATTCTATCTGATAGAGAGTGATGATGTCATCTATTTATTTTGCAATTTCGGCGGGGGACATCAGCCTCACTGTTGGCTTGTATTCAATAGCATTTGGTGCGAATTATTTACCTCCTTCACTATTTGGTTGATATGTAACTTACCAACAGAATGGCCACCTGGGCACTCAGATGTATTCAAAAATCTATCAGAAGGAGCCATTTTATCTAAAGCTGATAACACAAGATCTTGTGATTGTTTTTCACACCCTACTAATTCCTAAAACAAACAAAATATAAACACAATGTTAAAAGTCTTAACATTTTGCCCCATTTTCAGCCGTTACATTTTTAAACTTTGGGTGAAAAGGGTCTTATAAGGGGGTGGGGTAACAATGATACAAGCGCACCCCCAGCAAGTTGTTAAAAAAGAGCATTTATTAATTGCAATCAGAGTACATGAATATGAATGCCCAGAAGTACAATATTAAAATCTCCTTCCATAAATTAAAATAAAAGATTAAATCTTAATTTTTCACATTAAATCATGATGTAATGCAATCTTGTTAATTTTCCCTTTATTCCGATGGCTGCTCCACTAGCTACGATAATAATAATGTACATTTATATAGTGCTTAATCCATCCATGAGCATGCTCTAAGCACTGTAAGTTAATAGCTCCTGTGGATAATACATCGTGAACATATGCGCCTTAAGTCTAGATCGAAATTGAGCAACTGTTTCTGAACACGATAGACATGTTAAGAAGTGTGTTCTGGCTTTCTGGTCCTTTAATGACTTTGATTAGTAAACTTCTGAATAATCAAAGCCTTTCAAACAATTGATAGTAATTTGGGTCATCATGGGTTTTGATTGTTAAGTTGAATTGATCAATCACACAATCTGCACACTATACACTCACTATAAACAAATGTTTTTAGTATCAAGATGAAGTGGCGTCAACAATCAAAAAATGAACAAAACAAATGACCCTACTTCAGACAATCTAAAATTAACTCAACTAAAATTAAACTGAACAATCACATGGGGAATTTGGTAGAAAAACCGATCAGCAATGCTGAACAAGTCATACATATACCGAATGACGGACAGAAGTGACAACATAAGTCATACTATTACGTCAATTCTATATCTGACTATTACATCGAATACTATAAGCTAATAACATCCATTTACTACCAGAAGTCACAGGCTGAATGACTGGGATCCATAATTTATAGCCAATTCAATCGATACACTATGTATTTAAAATAATTTGATACCAATTTTGGTCATAAAATTGTTCAGATGAGCTGACCATGGCCTTTATCAAAGTTAACATTGTAGTGTAATCTTAATCAGAGTTGTTTGTACCTTACCTTTGGTAAACAAAAACTGTAACTTTCTGGTAAATATGGACCGTTATAAACTGTTACTTTTCTGGCATCACAATCAATATTTTGTAATTTCTGATGGCTTAAAACCATTTTATACTGGTCTTTTAAGATATGAAAAAGAATATTAATCTATTAAAGATACATTGTGGAAGAACAGATAAAGAGCTGGCAGTTCTCACTATAATGTTAAAATTTGCTCCGCTCTGAACCGAGATATTAGCGACCGATTTTTCTGCCTAGTTGGTACGATCAAAAACATAGTCTTGATCATCTATTTTTTGATTTAATCATCAATGAGCGTTGAGCAGAAGATCCATTTCAAATCCAGTGACAATCCGACTTATAAGATGACATCAAAAATTGATTAAGGTTTTTTCATGTTAATAAATGTCTTGTTAATAGTTTATATAGCATTTCAGGCCTAAAGAAAGACCTGCAATACATGTAGATCAATTTGAACAAGTGAAACTTGATTGAGGAATTAATAATTTGCCTGTGGTCAACATTCTATTGTTAATTAAATTGAAGTACAAGCATCATGTACAAGTAGGGGGATTGGAACCAATCCACTTGACTCAATGACAGACCTTCTTATCCAAAATGCATGTGTTAATCCTTCGGCCCTCCCCTCCCAATGATTTAGATAGATTACAGTACATGCATAAGACCCTTCAGCCATACAGGTTACTGTCATTCACAACTGAACAGTGTTTTATTATTGCTACAATAACTCAGTAGATGACAGTCTATTTTCAAAATAGTCACAAATAGAAATATATATTTCATATATATATAGACCTATATTTTTCAAATTATGATTGCCTACCTGTAGAATTGCCATGAGATGTAAAATGCTTTAAAAAAGCAGGATTTAGAATATCTTTAAAATGCTTTGGTTGAGCTTTCTGTAGAACCACTAAAGACCAAACAAAATCTATCCTGTCTGCAGGGTTAGTTAATTCTGTATACTGCTGTTTAAATAAAGGTGGTAGACGTTTATAATCTAGTCTTGCTAATGCCAACAAAATATTCTTCATAACAATTGGTTTATCTGGTAAACGATGAATTTCGTTTTGACGTAAGTCTAATGTTGTGGAACATTCATATAACAATTCTGTATCTTTCCACCTTAAGCGACCAAGAGATATTATAATTGAACATATAAAATCTATTTTTCTGGAACCTATATTATGTAAATTCTTAATTTCATCACAAATCTTGTTCAACAACTGTACATCATATATACTTAAAACTCCACAAGCATATAATAACTTTGACAACTGACTTCTAGTTAGATTTAGCCTCTCACATTTATTCAAACGTGTTACCACAGTCTTTAGTAATGCATCTTTACGTCGTGGAATTACACATGAACTAAGTATGAAAATCACTTTATATAATTCAGTTACTTTCATTTCAGGCACTAAAGATAACAATTGTTTTTCTATTTTTTCCAACCCATTCATATTGTTTAAATTTGCAAATAAATACATAACAGAAATAAGTTCATTTGGTTTTATCGTTACATTGGCACATTTGTCTTCTAAAATATTTATAATCCTATCAAAGATCTGTTGCTGGTCAAAATCTTTCTCTTTATAATGTTTATAAGCAGTGCTTAATTTAATGAGGTCAGATATGCTTAATTTATCAATAACTGAAACTAAATGAGACTGCACACGATGCTTTAAATCGAAATTAGTTATATTTAATTTGAATAAATTCTTTAATGTGTTTATCCATATGTAAGCAGGAATATCATTATTTTCCAAATCAAAAAAAGAAAAAAGATTTTGAAGTCTATGATCTGTGAGAACCTGTTCTATGCTATCAGTAGATGACACATTCTGTACTTTTAATTTGACACACAGCACTGTAAGAAATATATTAGCCTGCTCTATATTAGTAATGTTGGTAGCTTCATTTAAAAGTTGATCTATTGTCATGAATTTCATTGTTTCCATAAAGTCAGACAAGATTTGAGTTTTCTTCATGTCTTCCATTTCTGTCTGATTTATAGATACAGAATTAACCGGAGGGGAGAAAACCAAGTTTATGTCATTTAACACCTGACTGCTTTGACCAAGCAATCTTGAGTTTGAACTAATCTTGCATTTAGTCATGGCTACGGCCGGTACAACATTTATATGTTGCCTGAATCGAAGGTTCCACCATAGGGACGACAAAACTCGTTTCGACAACATCATGGACTTTTCTTTTCACCAGTAATCCCTGGAACATATATTAATCAATTATTAAATATAATATGCTTTACATACAAATATTACAAACAGGGGCTTGTCAGCATTTGTGGGAGCCGAAGTGGTTTAGTGAGTAAGATGCTAGCGCACTAATAAGGAGGTCTTAGGTTTTCTTCCAGTGTTGGCTGATGAAATTCTTCAGGATTTACTGGCATGGTTTCTTTTTGTCAGGTGTGTAGGATTAAGCCCCAGACAAATAACAGTGCCCAGTTGTTTGGTTGGGACAAAAAGAGGTCCTGTATAGGCCTACACATAGGAGAGCATGTAAAAGAACCTTTGACAGTTGAAATTCTATATTTATTATACATACATGTACATTAAGACTTAAGAGTAAGCTGTAGTGTCAATGGCAGGACAAAATTTCCCTCATAGCACACTGTATATGCCCATATTCATTAGACCAGTTGGTGCAGATCAAAAGGAGTTTAGCCCCATTTCATTTCCTTCAAGCCCCAAAATGCCCAGCAGCAGCAAAGCCATCATCGCCACCAAATAATAGCTCTGGTCTAAAATCATATCATGATAACCACATCTGCTCAGCAATTTTTAGAGAAAAAAAATCCAACAAACTAATGTATCTAGGCCTAACCTAACTAAGATTTATCTTATGGCATAGTCTTTGAGAATCAATACAGCATTAACTAAGCAAAAACCATCAAATTTTTCTTGAAAAACCGGTTGATCATACTCGATCATCGATGCGATGGTATTTACTGTCTGATTCATCGTAAATTTTAAACGGATTTCTTCGATTATGAACAAACTACTTAACGTTGGTTATTATAAACTTACCTGTGTGTTTGTAATGAACTCCCGTTCGATAAAATCCATTGCACAACTAATTATCACAACGATGAAAACAAGTTCTCTCTTGAAAAATTGAAATATCACAAACTTTTCCCAGAGAAAAATACCAATATGGAAGATGGTTACGTCACTCTGCGGAAGATATCATTTCGTATTAGGGGTGACAGCATAGGAAATTCAAGTACAATTACGACAAGAATCCATGACCACTCGGACCAAAGACCACTCGGTTCAAGATCAGTCGGACCAACTGATAGACCACTCAGCCCAAACAAATAGACTACTCGGACCATACAAAAAGACTATTCGGACCCAACAGAAAGACGACTCGGACCAATAATAAAATGTTGTTTTAATAAATTGATAATTGCGTTTGTTTTAATATAATTACTCGAACCAATAATAAAGTGTTATTTTAATAAATTGATAATTGTGTTTATTTTAATATGACTACTCGAACCAATAATAAAGTGTTATTTGAATAAATTGATAATTGTGTGTGTTTTAATATGACTACTCGAACTAATAATAACGTGTTGTTTGAATAAATTGATAATTGTATTCCAAATCGCAAAATATCGAGAACCACACTTGTAGTCACGTTTAAAAAGGGGCATATAAACGTCCGGTCTTCGTATTATTATGTGCTGTATATATTAACGCATCAAGGGCGGATAACTTGAAAACGTGTCTCCACCCCCACCCCCCACCCCCCATATATAGTAACCCAGGGGTTAGTGGGGTAGAACGGAATGAAACCACTGGGGATACCGCGAATGTGGAAAAAGTAAAATTAGGCTATCAGACAAGAACAGTATACCCGTATATGTAGAAACTGTCAAAAGTCTGGACATACCGAGTCTCATTGCAAGAGTAAAGAAAAATTAGATTGATATTTTTTTTTGGCACCATTATTAATTAATTTTAAAACTAATCGTTGATTTATTTTCCGTACACAAAATTGAACCAAACAACTCTAAATATAAGAATTCCGTATAAGAATTATTTGCTTCTTTGTATTGTGATTTAATAATAAATAAATAGCATATTGTCTAGCCTTATAATATAATTTAATTGGTCCGACTGGTCTTGTTTTGGTCCGACTGGTCTTAGTCCGAGTAGTCTTTGGTCCGAGTGGTCTGGATACCTACGACAATTGGCATTGAGTTTGAGCGTTCGCACACATAACTACCCGCATTCCTGTATTTAGTTACCGTCTTTTACATTCTAGTAAAATCTCTGCAAATTTTATAGCTTTACTTTTTGAAATATTTTGTTCTAATTATTTGATTAGCGACTCGGATGGGATTATTTACTTTTGAACACGCATGCCGCACAAACACAACTATACATTCGTTTTACGGGCTTTATCACACTTCGGTCAAAACTGTCGAATCGAGAATTAATGTTCCGCTTCTTACGGGGTCATACGGGCTTAGTAGCATTATATACCCACCCGGGCACCCAATACGGCAATAGACACGCTGAGGGCTGCCGCAACACGCTTAAAGATGTTACTGAAGCGGTTATTATTCGATCGAAAGAATGCGTATAAAATTAAAAATACACTCAGAGAATTCGGAGGTAAGCTTCATGATCCTTGTTAAATTATTTATAACATAAAGAAGATAGGATATTTATAGTTTATTCATGACTTTATTTTTACGAGTATCCGTGCAATCAGTGATATTTTAATTGTGAAGAAAATTTGATAGACTGGCGATCAATGGTTTCCATATAAATCTCCTATGTAATTGCCTTCAATTGATATTTTTCGTCGCCCAAACCCATATACGATCAAAATGATCGCGCTGTCAAACTATCTTTCAATGTTAACCAACCCCCGCAACAGGTATATTGGATTCGACCATTACGTCACGAAGACATTGTTGACATCGACTCTGTCGAAATTACAAGTAAATTTTCAAATTTTTCAAGAGAGAAATTGTTTTCATCGTTGTGATAATTAGTTGTGCAATGGATTGTATCGAACGGGAGTTCATTACAAACACACAGGTAAGTTTATAATAACCAAAGTTAAGTAGTTTGTTCATAATCGAAGAAATCCGTTTAAAATTTACGATGAATCAGACAGTAGTACTCGTAACACGGTGTTACAGTTACAATATTATACGGTGTCACTTTACCATCACCTTCAAATATATGTTTATTTTAAACCCGCTGTTGTTGGCACACACCACTGCTGGTCGTTGTATGACAATTTACTATACTATTATTGCAATTTGCTCACCACTAAAACTGTAGTCAATTGTCGGTAAAATCCATAACCTTGCGTTGACAAATTAAAGTCGTACTTGATTTTTCACTGTCGCTTACGCAGTTTTCTTACAACCGAATTAAGTTGTCTTTCAAAAGCTGAAAGAAATAACTCTTGCCAACTGGATTAAGAGTAGACAGAAACACCGCTGCCTGGACAAAATTTGCCATAGTGCAAAGTAGGACGTTAAACTCAATTCCATTTCCTTTATGGTTGGTGGACACAAAAACGGCACAGCTAAAACGTCATAATCATGTACACCACAGTTAGGGCAGAGCACTCCAATCTTAACAATAGTTTATAAGGATAAAGACCACAATCTTTCTAACAATATCTGTTGGTTCTGTGTTTGGAGGGGGCGGACCCAGAAATCTTTTAAAAGTTGTTCAAATTTGATAGTCGCAAGCTTTTATAAAGAAACATTTTCGACTGATTTGATACTATACTAGAAACATAATTTATCTCTAAAAGATTTGCTTCAAATCCATCTAAAAACATTTTAATCGGAAGAAAAATATTTTGATCAATTTTCTCACAACCGTTAGCCATTACATCAAAACACGAACGGTTAAGATTAGGTCTCTACTTTCCATAATATATATACAATGTATATATATATATAAACCGATATCAAAACTGACATACTTTTATTGGAAATAACTATACCCGATACTTTCGTGGGAATGTATTTAATGTTTTTCGGGGGTTTAACTAGCGGCATGTCTCCTAAGCCCCAGGGATTATTTTTATATGCCCCCATTTTCATGTGGACGTATGTTGTCGTCGACCCTGTCCGTCCGCCCACAATTTGTTTGTGGGCACTCTACGGGTCACAACTTTTATCCGATTTTGATGAAACTTGAAATATATATAGGTATATCTATCAAAGATCTCGGTTTGTTTCGATATTGGTATGTATCGGACCATAACTTCTTGGATTATGGCCCCTGATGTACGATAAATCACGTTTTTAGCTTGTGGACACTCTAGAGGTCACAACTCCGGTCCGATTTTGATAAAACTTGAAATGCATGTTTATAACCCAAAGATCTTGGTTCCTTTCGATATTCGCGCATATCGGATAGTAACTTCCTGAATTATGACCCCTGATTGTACGAAAAATCGTGTTTTTAGCTTGGGGTCCCTCTAGAGGTCACAATTTTTATCGGATTTAAATAAAAAATGTTTTATTATATAACCTTACACACTAATGGTGGTTGAGTGCGAATTTCGTGAAAATAGGACCAAAAGTCCCCTTGTACGCAAATAGTGTAAAAATATGGTATATCAAGGTTGTGGACCTTCTAGAGGTCACAATTTTCATCAAATTTTGATGAAATATGGAATGCATGTTTTATCCCAAAGATCTTGGTTCCTTTCGATATTCGCGTATATCGGATCGTACCTTCCTGAATTATGGCCCTTGATTGTACGAAAAATCGCGTTTTGAGTTTGTGGTCCCCATAGAGGTCACAATTTTTATCCGTGAAAATCGGACTAAAACTGACGGACATACTGGCCGCCCCTTGTACACAAATAATCTAAAAAATATGGTATATCAAGGTTGTGGACCCTCTAGAGGCCACAGTTTCTATCCGATTTGGATAAAATTTAAATATATGTTTTTACCATAAAGATCTTGGTTCCTTTTGATAATCACACATATCCCAACGTAACTTCCTGGATTATGGACCCTGATTGGCCGAAAAATCGCATTTTTAGCTTGTGGATTCTCTAGAGATCACAATTTTTTTCCGATTTTAAAAACCGTTTAGATATACAAATGTATCACCATTCCACCATAATGAAGGTTGAATTCGAATTTTGGGAAAATCGAAATGAAACTGCCCGACAAAATGGCCGCTCTTTGTACGCAAATTGTGTATAAGTAAAGGTTATGGACCCTCTAGAGGTCACAATTTTTATCCTATTTTGATGAAACTTAAAACATATCTTTATATTCCAAAAATCTCAGTCCCTTTTGATATTTGTGCATTTCAGACCACAACTTTCTGGATTATGGCCCCTGATTGTACAAAAAATCGTTTTTGTTTTTAGCTTGTTCTCTGTCCATCTCTTGCAAAACGTGGGCGTATCCTGCCTGGCAGCCGCTGGTTTTTCTTTACAAACGAAGATATCATCCTACTTTAGGCTTATATTTCGACACGGCGCCTCCTTTCTAACTAGGATCTCGGAGTTGGTAGGTCTATATTTTTTAATCTTATTCTAAGAAGTCTTGAGCAGAGGGGAGTGGAAACACCGAATCTTTTTCGATTTTCTAGCAAATGTTATACATTTCGATCTTGAGATATGAAGAGTGCCGCGCAGTTGCCTTTCAATGTGAATTGACACTGCGAAAGTCTAATGAATTAGATCGATCACTTAAAAATATGCTTCGGCCCGCGAATGCTCTGAATTTGTGCTCGTGCATAAATTTTGTACTTTTTTATATTAACTGTATGTTGCCTTTCGACGCAATCAAATTCTACTATATTAGTCTATAGCATATATTGGCCACAGACTTGTGCTGTATAATTTTAAAAATAAATGTTACGTTCGAATATGTGTTTATTAGATTACACAACATTCGTGGATGAACTCGATTTTCGTACAAATCGGACTGTAACTTCCCATTAAAATTGCCCATCACTTTTACACAAACATTGGCAAAGCATTTAGATGACACCAAGGCACCCGAGCCTCTAATTTGGATGAAACTTAACATATAATGTTAAGTATCAAAATATCTTGGATGCGTTCGGAGAGAGAGACAGAGACTCTACTCATTGTCACGTACAAACACAATCTTTGCACGACAGCGAAAGTCAGTTGAAGACAATTCAGACTGAATAATGCGGCAATTATTTTACAGGTCGTGATTTTTCAGAAATGCCATAAATGTGCAGGGCGCCAGTCGCTGATTTCGGGAGTAGAAAGAGAAGATTAGGTTTTGATTTATTAAAACTTTTTATTTAAATGAATACGTGAAAAAAAAAACAGTTTAAACATGAACACAAAACATAACGGTTACATTTACACGAACAATTTGATTTCATATATAATATTAAACATTGTTATCATGAATTAACGATATATGGCGAACAAATAAAACAGATTCCCTTTGATATAATTTGTTATAAATAAGCGACTATAATATTAAGTGATCGAGCACGATTGTGCTGTTTGAAACAATCATGTAAGGTGATACATGTATGCTTATGGTGGGTGATCTACATACATATTTATATATATTATAATACATCTTATATATAATTAAATCTCATTATGCAAATTTAATACAACGAACTCCTATTGTATACAAACAATTATTACCTACATAAAGATATACCTTCATTGAACTTTATGCTTTGTGTACAGTATATTATGTTTTCATGATTATGCACATATTTTTGTGAACTCAGCCGTGTAACTTAAACGGAGACTTTAAATTAAAATATATTGAACTTTTTATAATAGCTGTTAACGATTCTACCAATATTTACCTTAACATAGCTGCATAACCCATATCATAAAAAAACCCTCGCGCCATTTCGAATAGAAATGAACAGATAAGGTGTAAATGATTTACATTTTGTTTTATCATGCCTTAATGCCACCATTTGACATTTTTGTCAACTTACTAATATTGGCAAGGCATGGTATTGCTATAAAACGATTTACATGTAAAACTATCATCAACAAGAAATAATCCAAAGTTCAAAATATATTAGAAATCTACAATGTGCTAAATGCAAGAATAACATTTAATGTATAAAACAGTAATAATAAAATTCACTGTAACTTTTTATGAACACACAAAAAAAAGAGATCCACAAAACCCAAAATTTGGAATGACAATAAGTTCATCTAAATCATTTATTAGACGCAAAAAGTGTCATGCATTCTTAAAGTGATTCGACTTCATCGATTTGGTGAAAAATAAACTTCGGTTTGATCTGTTGATTATTTTTTCGAAGTGGGTATTGGTGTTCATTAAATTTTAGGTCTACCGATAAATTCAAAGTTGAGAAATAATTGATTTTGTGCTCAACAGTCCAAGTTTGCATCCGCTGTTTTCTAGCTTGCAATTTTAAAATGTTAATCTGACAAATAATTATGTTCACCAAAAAGAAAATGGTTCAATCACTTGGTTTTGGGGGGTTTTTTTATTTTTTTTTTTTTATAAAAGTCCAGCTTTCGTGTAACATTAAAGTTACAATTTCATATTTACTAAGAAAGTCAAAACAATTATTTCTATGTCTTTTGCTCAATAGGTTATCAACTCACTATTATACGACCATGGGCATTATTTCCCACCCTTAAAAATCATTGACACAGGAAATAACACAATTACCTCCCTTGTTTTCCTATTATCTCCATGGAATAGCTATGTTTAAAAGTTTGAATTTGAAGCTGAAAATGATATTTTTGCCAATTTCTCAGCTGGCAATAGTGAATTATAGGATTAGGATTATTCTTTAACAAGGTAGGACTGTTTATGGATACCATCTATTTTAAGGCTTTATTTTAATACATTTTAAAAATATAACTTAAAAATATGAAATTGTAACTTTAACTATGCTGGTGCTTCTGTCAGTATTATATTTAATTTGAATTTAAACTGACCCAGTTTATTTACATAATGAAATAACCATGTCTTTAAACAGAACCCTTGAGATATACAGTCCCACGTAATAGAGAACTAAACTAGATACAAAAGAAAACAACAATCCACAACTTAAAAATTGTTTCGTCTAAAAAGTCCAGAATATGGCGTTTTACCGAGAATTTTGGGTAAATAAATGCTACAGAAGAAACTGGCACCCTCCTTGGATGTCAGTTTTTCCTGAACATTGATTGGGTTTAAGAATGTTTGTTCAGGTTTGAAGTATTGTTGGAAATTTTGCTTTTCATTGTCATAGAACATGTATTTTCCAGACAACGGCAACGTGTTGATTTTTAACTCAAGTCCATATATCACTGTAGGCACGACAACCTCATGAAAGACATTATATTTAGAAAACATATCCAAATACGTTGCAAAGGTAGCACTGTATTGTGTTGGAATATAAAAAACGTCGGAAAGTCCAATAAAAAGACCGTCATCAAAGTTGGAGTTTTTAAGCAGATTTTTTTTGAAAGTGAAATACGAAGTCACAGAAGGAATACGCTGACTTTCTTCGGATATGTAAAGCACGGCTTTGTTATAAGCCGTCTTCCCAGCCGTTGAGGACCAAGCCGGCCAGTTGTTCAGTGTTTCTGTGGTCTGCTGGATTGGACTCAGATATTTACTTTGGTCTACCCAAATTCTATCACGAGGCATGGTTTCGATGGTCCAAGGATTAAGCAAGGTTTCGCTGGTAATCATCATATAGCCGCTAACACGGTATCCCATTTCCATAGCTTTTGACAGACATCGATAATTATAGTAACCCCTTTGGACGTTGGCTTCCACAAACGTAAAGGGTTCAGTGAAAGATTTTGCAGACTTTTGATATGATGAGATATCACTTCCACAGTAAACGATATGAGGAAATTTTGATGCATACAACATATTCAGATTTGGGATGACGTCATAAGATGTATCCTTGAACACAACCACCAAAACAATTTCTGGGAATGTCGGCTGCTCAAATGATGCCTTGTTTAACGAGAAATCGGACCGGTCGCAGAATTTGAGGATGCCCTGAACACGGTTCCAGTAAGAGCTAATGATGTATTTGCTATCATAGTACATTGGAGGAAACATCTCCCCTGCAGTAAACATCAGACTGGTTACCTCTGAGGAAGTATCTTGGTTTGGCTGGGAATTAAGTTCGAATTGCATCATAAAAGGTTTTCTTGTGGGTTCTTTATAATTGAGTTTAGTCAAATCATTAAACCAGGCTTTTATTAATTCTACATCCGACCCTTTCCAAAATCCCTTTTTATTCATATCCTCTGTCAGTTTCACTGCACACGCAAAAAACTTCAAAGATTGGTCGCATTTCCATTCCAATAAAAAGTCCACTAAGTCGTGGGTCATGAAATACAACATGTCTTCATCTTGGGCGTCTTTTACATAAGAATGCGAATTTCTCTTTTGGAAGGCATTGGGTCCGAAGAATCCTAAGTTGGCATCAATTTCCCACATGAGTCTTTGAATCCAATAACCACGCCATATATCAGTTACTCGGAACGTAACGGATGTGGGGAGAACCAAAGCCCACAAAACGTCTTGAAGGAAAAGGGTATTCTGGGAATTAAAAGGCACCAAAACTCCAGGTGGTAAGATGGCAGGTGGGGCATATCCATCAAATGATACATTCAACATTTCGGTGGTCCTCTTTCGTGTTAACCGGAAAATAGCATCCATATCGGGATCTCCATTGACGACTCCCTGTTGAATGGATGGTGTTTTAAACACACCAAGCTCATACTTATCGGTAAAATTACCACCAATATATCCAAGTGGATAACCTCTGGGCCATAAAGTAGGCTGGCCAAAATGTCTATAAGGGTTGAAGATTTTTCCACCAGCAAATTTCAAACCAGACATTTTAGGTTCATAAATAAAGTGCTTCAATAAATCCAAAGGTCTGTTGTCGTCGTCAGTTTCATATATAATACGAGCGCCATGAGCAATGGCGTATAGGTAGGCAGCGTTTTTTCTTGAGTAAGACTTGACGGGAAGGAGGTTAACTGTTTCAAATCCCAGTGTTTTTTGTTTCTCTACACTCAAGTAGTGGCAGTTTGGAAATCTGAAAGAAACAAAAGTAATTCAATAATGTTTGCTTTAATAGAAACTGCTAATCACCAGAAGCTTTGTTAAGGGAGAGGTTGCGACGAGGGTGTAAGGTAAGGACGCCACAGTCATTATTTTATACTTGAAATAATTATAACCATATTTTAGTCTAATTACAATATTTTTATGCCATTGTCTTATACGCAGTATACCCTCAAATCCCCTGACACACAGTGTTTACTAGCACTGTATATGCCATATTATAAAAACCCATAAAACTAACCACTCTTTCAATATTTATTGGGGTTTTTCGCTTCTAAATATTAGTTATTTAATTCAAACCAGGCTATGAAATCGATTACCTTACGATAAAATGAAATATTGAGTATTCAAAAGACATAAATTTACAGTTTGTTTGTACCAGTAGTAAAGTATCTGATTATTAGTATTGAAAGGCATTGGGTCCGAAGAATGGAGTATTCAAAAGACACACATTTACAATTTGTTTGTACCAGTAGTAAAGTACTGATTATTAGTATACATTTGTTTCATTTCTTGTCTTTTTGCATTCAGAGATGCATTCTGCGCTTTTGTGTTTGAGTGTGATCTTCAGACCATGTCTTTAAAGCCATTTCGGACCATCTTCACATGTTTGAATATAACTACAGATCAAATAGTGCAGTTTGAATGCCATTTCCCGAAAGTTAACACCAAGTGTTTATGAAAAGAAAATAAAGTCCAATTTTCTCACGGTTTGGTCCAAACACTAAATAGCCATTATGTGAATACTAATTTTTAAACATTACTATTGTACATTAAATATTTTATTTTTAAATAACTTATATAGGAGTGTCTTACGTCCAATCAGTTGGTGTTTTGGTATCACCAGCTACAACAACTTGCCATCCTTTTAGTTTAGCTAAGAATTTAACATCTTCAGTTGGGTACTGGATGGTTGTTATAATTATCCATTTATCACCTGAGCCGTTCTGATCTCCAACAGCCGTGTTACTGCCAATAGCTGGGGTATCAGCAATTACTTGAGGTGCGTCCGGTCCAGTGTTCTGTCCCGCAGGTTGTGGTATGAATCGGCTTCTAGTCCCTAAGTTCATCTGATCATTACCTTGCTGACTGTTCTGGTTGTTCTGGGGTTCATTGCCACTCTCTCTATTAGGGCTAACCACAGTGGCTGATGGATCATTTTCTTTAAATAACTCGGAACTTTTTGGTTCTTTTTTGTTTAGCTCAAAATCTATCATGGATTTGTACAAACGTTCGCCGCTATTGCCTGTACCTTTCTGTCCAATAGCGTCGGGTATTTTGAAACCATTGTCTCTATTATTTGTAGTGGCAGCTTCGTCTATTCGGAGGTTCTCTTGTTTAGGAATGACATCCATCCTAGGTCTAGAATCCCCGTTATTACCCTGAAACTGTCTAACGGTTTCATCAAAGTTATTTAATCTGTTCCCCTGCATTCCTTTTAATATCATATTGCGTTTTCTGAAAATAACAAAAATATGTACATGTACATGATTGTTTATTAGATTTTATAAGATCTTCAGCAATGGCTGGCTTTTCGTCCAAGGTAATGAACACCCACATGCTAACTGTAGTGAAAAACAAGTAACACCAACAATTGTGGGGGGTGCGCAAAGGGTCTAGGACCTCACCAACGTTTTTCGTCTAGTACTACAGCGTTTCCACTGACAAGTTGGAACTGTGGGCAAATTAGTGGCCCATTAGTTACAAACCGAAATTTCTTTGGTTCATGAAAATTATTTCTTAATCCTCGAGTTACATTCCGGTTATGTTATACTGGAAATGAAATATACGGGTCACCAAACCAATCCCTAAATTCTCCAAAATAAAAGACACTCCAATACCCAATTTATTGGAAGGCATGTTATTTTACAAAAGAAAAAAAAACAAAACTTTTTTACATAGGCATGCTTTATGTGACGTTATTGTAAGACGTCAATCCATATTCATGTGCTACCAGAAACAGCTTAAGTCAAATACTTCAACTTTCAGAATATCTAGGTGGCCCCTGAATGGCCAGAGGGTTGTGCGAGTTAACGTACAACCAATAGAAGTGTACTAAAATGAAACTCACCTTTCAGTAAAACGATTAAGTTGTTGTTTGTGTCCATCGACACTGGGTGAGGTAAACATTGCCCAATACACGAAGAGTATAAGAAAAGACATGACAACAACTGAAGAAATCCGGTAATAATTACATCTACACCTTCCACCTCCTCTTTTCATTCTATCCGAACCTGTCAAAAATACAATATATCATCATCATATACGTGAAAAGTTTTATTACGCCCGTAAAGCCTCTCATCAGAAGCCGTATTTCAAAACCCTGGAGGTATATGCATATTGCGTACTTTGTAACTATAGATGTAAATACAGATATATATATATATATATATATATATATTATATTATTTCTATCGGCGTATTGATTCTGGCGATATGAAGGATCAAGTTAAGGGTTGGGATTTCTTATTTTACTTCCATTTAAAATGTCTTGGTTTATACTCAAGATAATAATAACTATGTATTTCTATAGCGCCTTTACCAGTTGAGTACAACAGCTCAAAGGCGCTGCTGGAGTCTGACTACACATGGATATATACAATAGAGGGATTGTCTATGGATATGCCTCTTTGAACAAGTTTGTCTTTATTGCACTCGTGAAATCATCCAGAGATGGAATGGATCTGATGTTGTCTGGCAGTGAGTTCCATAGGGCTGGACCAGCTGCTGCAAATCAAATCAGTTTCGTATTTGGTACACCTTTTGGAAATACGACCCGCTTGACTCCGCTAACGAAACCCTTAAAACGCACTTGAATTTTACACCATAATCCTATATAGATAGTAAGTTACTACAACTATTTTTTCCGATTATTTACTTATTTGGGGTTTCCAATATCATAAATAATGGCATAGTTCTAAAAGTGAAAAACTCAATATTATTTTAATAGCACGCAACCTTAAAACGTGTATATAATCCACTCGCTGTATAATATTTTTTGTACTAGGCGAGGACTAACATTCTTCAGCTATTTATACAAACACAGGTTTTTAATATGGGTCATACTCAATCTTTAACAAATAAAAAGTGCACTAGGGTAGCGCTATTAATCTCCAATTATTTGTCGAAATAAAATAATTTTTAAAACGTTTCATACTCAATCCAAATAAATTAAAGAAATCATAGATTTTTTCCCCAAGTATTCAACGAAAAAGGACATACCCATTTTTTGCAACTTTGTTCGCGATATTGAAAGAGATTTAGCCAATGAAAAACTCCCATTCAATCGGTTGATTAAAATATCAACGCTGTAGATCGTTACACGCGTAATGGGGAAATTGTTGAATTTCGTATTCGGATGTGAAATATAATGCCATATATAATATAACGAAATATAATTCTTCCAGCATTGTTATTATATTGGCGCCAATAACACAGACCTTCATGTAGAACACATTATACTTGAATATGGCCAGGAATCGATCGATCACGATAACAGGCTGTTTAAAAATTGATTAGGGAAGTAAAACGAGATCGATTGCGAAATATTTCAAAAAGCTTACTGTTAAGAAAAGACATGAAATGAAATATGGTTTAAATCTCGAGGAACTTTCTCGGTCATCACAGGGATCGAACACGTGACCATCAGGTTAGCGAGCAAACGTCTTACTCACTGGAAATTAAAAACACGAATTAGAATTCAATATTGGTCAATTTCAATCTATATGGTCTTATTGATGTTATTATCTTAGCGTGAAAATGTGTGATCCTATTATCCAATATTTAAGACACAATAAACATACGAGGACTGGTTGAACAGTTCTAAGCCTGAAAAGTATAGATCAATTGGGTTGAAACAAAGTTTTGCTACCAACAAATACAATCATTGAATGAAGCATAGACTTGAGAACTACAAATGTAGTGGTTATTATTGTCTTCGTACCAGACCACCTTGCGAACTTACCCATTGAAATTAACAGAAATGGACAAAACTAGCTATAGGGCAGTCATCAAGAACTTATCGATAACGAGTTAGGAATGACAAAGTTTCTGTAAGATGGGGGCCCAAAGCTCTCGACTACGGATAAGAAACGTGTCAGATTCTTGACCCCCCCACCCCCGGCAATCTGAGCCGTTTTACGCAGATTCTGATAGGTTTTGGACCGATTTGTAACCATGGATGAGACGCGTTTCCCAAAATGGAAAAGAAACTAGTCGGTCGACATTTTCCAAGTAATGATGTCGAAGGGTACTATGTAGAAAAAGAAATGGAAACCATCGACTTTGCACAGGTCTTTCACATTTTTAGCCAGCCCTCATATTATTTAAATCACTACACGACTCGTGTATTTTATGACCCTGCTTGATTTGTCCATACGGCGCATACCGGCGGGAGCGGAGAATATCACTTGACCGGCGTACGGCGTTTGCAAACCGGCTCACCTATCGGCGGAGAAATCAAGCAAGCCCAATGGTTTCGAGCGCCATTTATAACGACCAAAGAAAAACACAAAGATTTACAAACGACCCCCCCCCCCCTTCAATTATATAATAATTGAACATGCATAATTTTATACACCCTCATATTACATTAATATATGCTTTTAGAACCTTTTTCGTCTATTTTAAGGTTCCAAAGAATAGAGCTATTCCCCTTAAATTAGCATGGGTTATATTTTATTCGGTAAGAAGTGTTAAATCATTTATTTGACATGCTATAAACATGTGTATTGATGAGTATATAGCATAATGAGTATTTCAATAATTCGCTTGCGCATAGGGGTCTTTAGCAGTGGGAGGAGGACCAGGGGTAAAACCACGAGGTTGGACAGGCAACCCTATAACTCGTGTCACGTAGAAACGGGGAACCGAACCACACAATTTGACTCAATGACAGACCTTATGGTTTCACGCGCACGCGGACACTAGATTCCCCCACCCGCCTCCTTAGGTTATAAACATATTTTTTAAGTTTCATTAACATCGGATAAAAATTATGACGTCTATAAGAGTGTCCACAAGCAGAAAACGTGAAAATGGGCTTATATAAATGAATATAACAATGAAGTATACCTTAAACGATACGTTACTCCCTAACGCCAGGTTTACACAATCGATTTTTCTTCCCAATTTTGGAATATTGAATTTTAGTCGGCAAATCGTGATGATTTACCAACAATAAAAGCAAACTAGCATATGTCTACCTTCAGGCGACCTTGACATTTAAAATAACAAAATCATTATATATACAGTGTTTTCTTTTTTTAAAATTATGTGCGACATGCCTTGTGCAACATATGGCTATATTATAAAGAAAATAAAATGAAATGGGGTTTAACGTTGTAATGTTATGATAATGATATTGTAAAGAAAAATAACTTGGTGATAAATATGATTGGAGACTATCACTTAAATATCTATTTAAAACAATTCTTTTTAAAAAATATAAATTTATATACACAGAAACCATTATACATAATTAGTTTCGCAATTTTGAAATAACTCCGAATGAGCGCTAAGTCGATGCATGTAAGAAATTTGATCTCATAGTCAATTATGACGAATATATTTATTGAATAATATATTCCAATTTACACGACGTTACATCTGAAACAAAAACCAACACAGTTTCTCTCAAAGTGTTAGGATTTCGCTCAGTGATTATTTTTAATCAATTCATTAATAAAAATAATAATAATAAAAAAAGTATTAACATTTCGCTCAGTGATAATTTATAATCAATTCACTATTAATAAAACAAGCGGTTGCCAGGCAAGATACGGCCACCTTTTGCAAGAGATGGATAGAGAACAAGCTAAAAAAAACAAAAAACAACAATCGATTTTTCGTACAATCAATGGCCATAATCCAGGAAGTTATGGTCTGAAATGCGCGAATATGGGAAGGGGGGTGAGATATTTGGGATATAAAGATATAATATAAGTTTCATCAAAATCGTGACTTTTAGAGGGTCCACAACCTTGGTATTACATACTTTTACACTATTTGCATACATGGAGCGGTCATTTCGCCAGCAGTTTCGGTCCGATTTTCACGAAATTCGAACTCAACGGTCATTGGGGTGTAACTCCGATACATTTAAACTTTTTTTTTTAAATCGGATAAAAATTGTGACCTCTAGAGGGTGCACAGGTTAAAAACGTGATTTTTCGTATAATCAGGGGTCATAATTCAGGAAGTTACGGTCCGATATGCGCGAATATCGAAAGGAACTAAGAACTTTTGATTACAATCCTACATTTCAAGTTTCATCAAAATCAGATGAAAATTGTGACCTCTAGAGTGTCCTCAAGCTAAATACGCCGTTTTTCGAACGATTAGGGGCTATAATCCATGATGTTATGGTCCGACACATGCCAATATAGAAAGGAACCGAGATCTTTGGGAGAAAGACCTATATTTCAAGTTTCGCCAAAATCGGATAAAAATCGTGACCTGTAGAGTGTTCACAAACAACGGCGACGGCAAAATACGTCCACATGAAAATGTGGGCGTATAAAAATAACATTTAAAGATGGGTCCTTCGTGGCACGTCCGTTCACAACCTTCGACGTCACGCGTGCAGACACTCCTAATCGTCGGGCTGTCGATTAGGGAAACCCTTACATTTTTGTCCTGTATGCACTCTATGGGTATTTTTTTTTTTTCAGGGAAACCAGTATTTTTCTAGTAAGATTGGATATTGCTACTTTCCATATATACCAAAATTGCTATACTTTTATTGGAAATTACAACCCGATAAATACTTTTCTGGAAACGTAGCTTTAAAAACATATTAGTAATTCATCAAAGGTCCAGTCGCGTGAACAGCTGATTCACAAATATGCAATTGTATTATTATTTTCTTCCGTTACAACGAGAGAGTTTAACATCTGAACAGGACACACCGACAATAATATATCGAGCATTTCCGAACTACCACTCGAATTCTCTAGAAACTGGATTTGATATGCACAATTATATCTAACGAATATACGTGAAATATGTCACTTCGCTTTTAAACTGGAATTGTTTTACAATATCTTCTATTAGTCATTATAGTTAGGTTGATTTGTCCCCTACAAAGTAATTATAACCAACCAGTATAAAAGTGTTATTTGGTATGAGGGTCAATTGTTGGATTATATTTAGGGGTTAGTATGTTATCACTATTTATAGGTCTGAATCAATAAAAAGACTGAACTGAAACTTTATATGTCCGCAAATAAACCTGAGAACCTACAAAAACTTAAAACTGAGAAAACAACGTTCTATGTTTAAATAGTCCGATATATAACCTTCACAAATATATAGGCTATATATATTTTAAAATGAAATTATGTGAATGTTCGAATGTCTTATATAGGCCTATATCGTAGAAGATAGAACATAACACTGACTCAACTCAAAATGTCGGGGGCCTAGGACCTGTAATGTGAAATATATATATATATATATATATATATATATATATATATCTGGGCCATTAGTTTTTATCGCATCGCGTATTGTAACATGTATAAATAGCCAATATAACTAAGATTGAAATTTACGCTCTATGGCTTTATTATAAAATAGTATTATAATGTAATTTATTATGGTTATACAAAAATATATTATAATATAATATTATAATATAATTTATTATGGTTATACAAAAATAAACAGGTCAAATTCATTTATGGGGGTCATAGTTCTCCCGTAGCTCTACGAATACGGCATTCGTGGTTGATGTGACTGCCATTCGAGGTCCTGTCCCTAGCTCTGAATAAATGGGGACCAGTCAACCATGATCGCCCAATAGATCCCATGAATTATGACGTCATAGCAAATAAATTAAGTCTGACATTGAGACTAGTTCAAAGAATGAACTCCTAGGCAAGTTGAAATGTATAGACATGCTAAATCGTTATCCAATAATCCGCTTGTTTATATGGGTCTTCAGCGGTAGGAGGAAAGAGGGAGGGCAAACCGGAGAAACTCCACGAGGTTTGGGAGGCGATCCTTCTCTCCGTCACATTATAAGTCTAGGAATGTAACAAAAACACGGATAATAAAAGTCCGTATTTTATGATGTCACACAAATGTAGGACATTAAACGCCATTGTATTCATTTGCTTATTTATGAACTGTAGCGCAGGTTTATAACTGTTTTGCTGTCTGTTTAAACTTGACAGTTCCCTAGCTTGTATGAACACACACCTTTTTTAAAAAGGCCTTAGAAAATCTTCAAATAAAATCTTATTCAAACCGAACATATAGGCCCCATGATCATTATGTCATAAACACGCGTCGTAATTACTATAGTTTCAAATTCAAATTAAGTGTGGTTTAATGGTCTAGGTCAGGGCGAGACATTAAGTACTATACCGGTATTGATACTGCACGAGGACGATAGTCCGCTGTCTATTTCTATTACGAAATGTCTTACACGATACTATTTAAGGACAATGTTGGTGTCAGCCATTGCTACATATGTGAATGAACTGGTTAAACACATTCCAAATATAATTTAACATTGCTACGGTAGATGAGTAACGCAGATTTGAAGAAACAGGAAGTGAGGCAAAAAATGGAAAACACGTACAGGTTATCCTTACATATAACTTACTGACGTAACGAGCGATAGAAGATACACGGTCGATTATCAGCTCACTGCTAATTCCTTTGATTGAAGACGAAAAGTTGATATATTAGACTATCGGGTATATCTGACAATTCATAAAACGAACTGACTGTCACGAGATACGAGAAAGCGAGAAAGATAGAAAAAGTCAGTGCATTCCCTTGTTTTTTATTCAGGAATTTGATTCGATGTAAATATGGAATCAAGACAATTTTTTTTTACAAAAACGTGCTAAAGATTTTGGTTGATCGGATATGAAACAACAAAAGGATAGTGTTGTATATGAATATGGCTGGGAGTAACGAATATTCCGGAGTAACACACAACCTTATTTTGCACGAGCAGGATGTTCAATCCGATTTAATTTAATTTGTAGATATACATGTAAAGAATCAACCAACTAATCTTTGTCACGAAACGTATGTTTCCTATTGCGCGAATATGAACGACTCCATGTTGAAATTGATGTGCCCTACCTTTTGAATGCTATATATATATTTATTATCTTGAAACTGAAGTGTCGCGTGTAGTAACAGCATCACAGGTGTGGCTGGTTTCGACACGATCACTACTGTTGACAACAATGAAAAACAAAGCGGTAACTTACCTGGCATTCGTAGATCTGACTAAAATTGTATCGCCTATTCCTCGTTTATAAACCAACCAATATCAACACTCATTGATTGGTAAAATAATGAAATAGGTCATAACTACGTAACGGTACAAATGCAAGATAAACCAAGAAGGCCAGGGTGAAGATATAATAATAATCACGTGACCATTTCTTTACATACCTGACAAACAGTCAGCCATGCATTACCATTGATTGATTGTTTGAATATCAGGACGTAAATTAGCTTAACATTTCTAATGAATTAATCGACTGGTTGATCCTGTATACTGTTGCTATAAGCAATAATGGTTGCTATGGGTGGTGAATCTTTTTCAATACAGGTAGACGTGTCATCTCACGACTCATGTTCTGCGTGCCATGATGAGTTCGAGCAACAACAAAGTGATCAACAAAAGACAATTTACAAAATTATGTTGATATTGTTTTATATGATTAACAATATTAATAGTACCAATTAAACTAAAAAAGTAACAGTTATATAATTTGATTATCGATAATCCGTCTAAATAATTATGTTTTTAACGACTGGAACAATGGCCAATGCGACCCCAAGCGGAGGGGGTAACATTTTTCAAATCACGGTCTAGTTTGGTTGTACGCCGTGTTTCTCGCGAAATGACAGTTGTGGGATTTTTAACTATGAGTAAAATGCGTTTGAAAGTTGCGTTCAATTGTTATCTTTGTGGTCATCAAATTATAATAATTTGATAAACTAAATAATTTTTCAACATTCGGAGATGCTGGTTGGGACTTGGCAAGTTCATTTTATAACAAAAATATCAATTGTCGTCTTATCGCCATCCAAATTTCTTTTAGCTTGACAACCCCCCCCCCCCCCCTTGTTTTCCCTATTCCCGGGAAGAAATGAAATGATATGGTGATTAAACGTCCTACTTTTCTGCACCGACTGGGCTAATGAGGACGACCTACGCCATGCTGTGTGTTATGAGGTAAATTTTACTATTTCGAATACCAACTGTCAAGGGTTCTTTTATGTGCACACCAATGTGTACACGGGACCTCGAATTTTCGTCCCGTCCGAACAACTTAACGTTATGCCCTTACAGGCCCTCCGTCCTACAGCACTGACAAGGAGGTGCGATTCCGGATAAATCCGATGAACATTTTCTGTCAGCAACAGGATGCAGATTAGCACTAGCCAACGTCTTACTCACTGAGCAACTTCGACCCCCCCCCCAACCCCCAGGAAGATTCAATAGCGAAACCCCTTTCCAAATTTTGTATTTCAGAACGTGTAATTTTCATGTTTGATTACTTGGTGGTTACTCACTCTGCACACAGAGATCTATCTACTTCATACATCGAGAATAAATACACGGTTCAAGCGGAGCTAACTGTAGACAGACAGCCTACGTTTGGGATGGGTGGTTGTTGTTACGTTTAGAAATATAAACAAATTAAAAGTTGATTTACAAAAGTAACCGTGAGTTCTTCATCTTTACACTTTTCTTCTCGTCCACTGATATATTGTGGGATGCAAAGATCTGGGTATGTTTTAGTGCATGGTAGTGAGGTAATACCGATGATGTCAAGTAAATATTCGTTTTTGGTACTGTTTGATAGATGAAAAGTAGCATATTTAGCTAACATCACTTTCTTCTACAAAGCTCAACGCATTCACACCCAAAACTTGTCTTAAGTATGCCGAAATCCAAACATTATCTCGTGTGTGGAGACGTGACTGCGGGTTCGCCAGTGAATGGAGCCGGGGAGTGTTTCATACATACAGGACTGATCGAGCCCTACTATGTCATGATAAGATTTTATAATTTTTAATGTATCCGATGAAATTGTATAAATGCTACGTCGAAGTCAACCTAATCGGTTATTGATTCTAGTGATCTGAGTTGTATTTTGATCTAATAGGTTCTATCTAACAGATAGCCTGCCAGACGACGTCAGATTTCATCGTTTCTGTCCCCGATTTAAAAAAATTTTCTAGCTGGAGGACAATCGGACCCTCTCAATCCCGGAGGGAAAGTACCCCTCAGACCACCCCTTGCCCCTCGGACGTCCCGGCGTCCCTGGTTGTAAATAATCACTTATGTTCTTAATTTCAACTCCCGAACTGATTACAATAATCTAACGATATCATATACAGCGATTAATTTTACCACGAGTAGAGATGTATAGCCAACTTTAAATGATTTTACTTCTAAAGAAATTATTCACCACGTTCAAGTCATACGATTCATTAAATCTTCTAAACATTCTCCTCTATACAGTCTGTACTCTTTCGACAGACTTGACTGAGCAAATGTACTTATGACAAAGACGCTCAACTGCCACAAAAATAGAGATAATAAAGCCAAGGATGAGAACATGAAAACAACCACACCCTTCTTACAGATTGGACAGTTTTATGTGTATCCAATTGTTGCCTGGATTTATTTATAGACAGAGAATAAGACGAGACCTTTCTAAAGCCTGATCATAATTATAAAAAGTATGTTGTCAGTACTCGAAACTCAGAAAATTGGAAGGGGAATTTCAATTAAAATATTAAATCACTTCTTACGATTCGCTTTTTTCTTTCCTAATTAAAGTAAAGATACTCCGGGACCCCCCCCCCCCCCCCCTCCCCTCCTTGTCAGTGACGACGGACAGATGCCATGACAAGGGACGAAGAACCGAGGTCCCGTTAGCGTGCACGTAAAAGACCCCCACAACAGTTGAATATTCGATGTAGAGCGTCGTAATTGACGCGTTCTGGGCAACATTTCCATCGGAGAACATTACATGCGTATTCCTTCATTAGCCCCGTTGGTGCAGGAAAGTACGCTGTTAAACCCCTTTTTATTTCTCTGATGTTTTTTTGTGGATATGTAAAACGTTGTATCTACTAGTTTTATAGAATAGATATGTAAATGTTTGATACCCAGACCCTCACACAATGTGGTTAACAAAGCTCAAAACTTCATTACGTAGTAAAAAATAGTGTATAAGGAAAATACAGTTATCTATTTATGAGACCAGGGATCTACAGTTGTTTTAATAATAAAATATACGTAGTTTATATGGTAACAAATGTCGAAAGTTGCGTCAGCTGTCCCTTAGTTCATGACCTAAAATGTAAAACTTGTAACACAGCTGTAAGCTATGAATGGAACATAACTTTATAACAGATGTTAATTAATAAGTAGCAACAAACGGTTTAATCACACTACCTGTATTTTATATATCGCTTTTATCTGTGTACGTTCAATGGCTCTTTCGAAAGGCTTTGCAAATGGGGTAAGAAATTCCTAACAAAAACTGTGTGCAGAATGTGGGAAATAGAATTTAAGCCATTTTTAGAGGAAAATGTCATGACTCCGACAGGGTGCTTCTACTGATAGCTAAAGACAGAAGTGTAAATAATGTTAAAATCAGTCGCTCGCCCAAACAATCTTTGACAGCCATTACAAAACACTGCCCCCTACCCCCCGGTGCTGCAATCGTCCCATACTTCTTGGCGTCATATAAATGGGGCTTAACAATGGATTATTTCCCTGGGGTTATTGAGATTAAACCCTAATCACATACAATCTCCATCAGGATCAATCTGCCTTTAAGGATTTAATTGTAACGGTTTGTAAATTAATAAGATATTTAACATTAAAGGTGTAGATATAAAGTTTTATTATATGTAAATATAAATCTGTATATAAATCTAAAGTTATATAACCATGTAAAAGTTCAAAGAAAAATACATATATTGATAACAATCATTGTTCTACTCAATTCATGCAGTAAATAGTAAAATAACAGGTAGATTGAAGATAAGAATGAGTATTTTTTTTAGTCAATACATGGCAAACATTTTACATTAGGCAGTGACATTCATAGGAACGATGGGTTGCCAGGCAGCGAAACATGTCCACAGAACAGTCTACAAGGGTTCTGCGATATTTATTCTTTTGTAGGTAATGGGAGCATTTACAAAACACTAAAAACTTATGGAGACATTTATCACCCAATGACACATTCTACAGTAGACATCACTTGTGTGATAACTTTCATAATCTACTGAGCGATATCTCCTTAGAAGATATCACTTTACATGAATTTGATTGGTCAATTAAAAAGGAACTACTTTTTGGATCCAGTAATATTATTGGAAACCATTTAAAATCAATAGGATGCTTTGGAGGGACCAGCTGAAGGGGGTGGCGAGAATATATGACATTTCAATGCAGGTGTATAAACATCCAAGTACTAGTTAGTCAGTACTGTACATATATTATACATTTGTATATGGCAGTGATATTAACCTTTAAAATGGTTGTGTTTTTCTTTTTTAACTTCACCGTCAGTGTTAAATGCTATAAACATTTATTCTTTGCCATATCACCCTGTGTATATAAGACTAGCCCTATTATGCTTAAATATTAATATTTTTTGTATTTTTATTATCAAAACTTTTAGTTAACCTAATTCTAAAGAAAGTCGCAAAAGCGTATGAATGGAGGTGTGGCGCCTCAAAAAACAGAGTTAGAAGTCGGTAAATGACTGTCCTTTTAATAGTTTTAAAAAGAGTCTGAGCACTCCAAAAATAATAGTTTGTGTGCGAAAGGATTACTAAATCCACAGCAGTATAAAAATTCATAAATAATTCAAATTGTTCATGAATAATTATCAATAGTCAGGGCGGGGGTGAAAGCTGGGATTAAAGAGTGCAGTAGTAGCAGTACTATACAAGTATGAAGGCTTTCTCAAAAACCCAACTGAATTACTGTTTTCCTGGGCAACCACACTGCCACCATAAGAATTAACAGGTTTTAGCATGAGGTCAGAAATTGAAAAGTTCACTTCTGTCCTCCTAAGTAAATGCATATCATTCTTTCCCTTTTTAAAAAAAAAAAAAAAATATTATCAATTTAAAATGAAAGTTTGTCCATTTAGAGATTTGCTTCTGTTCCATACTATATCAGCACACATCTGGCCAAGAGTTTCTTCTTCCTGCAATTATACAAAATGAAAATGTTTAAAAGGGAAAGCTGTCGGATATTCCTGCAGCAATAGTTAAGAGCCTTATCAGCATTAGACATCACTACACTTAAAGTGGTGTACTGTTTCTGATAAGTTATATCCCACTGGATATTTAATGGTATGACATTTTAGTCTTGGGTGAACGGATGGATCTGGTGAATGTTAACTATAAGACTAAAACCATATACAAATGTACCATTAAATATCTAGAACTAGCATAAAGCTTTAGTTTTTATTTGAGTGTCAATATACAGATATCACATTGACCAATCAATATTTCTTTGAAGATAAGACTGCAGATATGGTTTAAACAAAATTGACCATTTGCAAAATTGATCGCTGCCTTAATCTTAAGAAACATACCATTTTGGATGTGATCTGGTATGGATGCATCACACTTACATTTTCTACTGTTAAGATGACATTCAATATGGTCTTGTGATTCTGTAGCAAATATTTGGCATGGTCTCGACACTTCTCAGAAACTTTTGGAAATATCTGTAGGATTTCGTTATTTGCTTCTACTTGACAAATGAGGACTATCATTTTGATATGAGAAAGTGTTGTTGAGAATATGTTTCGATATATCTCTAGTATATTATCTTGTAATAATCTGTCTTTATCCACAAAATCAACAATTGTATTTAACAAAGAATTTTCAAAAACAACTTTATCTAGAGTTGAAACAATGGTCTGAAAAAAAAAGAAAATGATAAGAGATTTAGCCTGAAGGCATTTTTCCCCATCAGCCTTGAATTTATATTTTCTGGAAATTACTGATTGCCCGAGGAGTATGCCCTTGGGATATGTGCAATAATGTTACATAGTAAACATAATAAAGCAGACAATGTGCTGTGAAGTATGTAATTCTGTTGTTGTGCTATACGGCTCCAGATCAAAAATGTCCAGAGAGTAGTTGCAACCTCTACCTTCCAACCCTCTTATGAATCAAAATTATTTTTACATTGCTAAATCATATTTATTCACAGAAACAATATCACTTTCAGCAAGGAATTAAAAATGTTTAATTTCACATCATTGTAAATTGAATTGCTAATTATCACAAATTCCAAACAATCTTTCAACTTCTTCCAGAAATCTATTGACAAGATGTCCTCAAAATCTAATATGATTATACCTGTACAAACAGATCTCAAATCTCAAATATTTTTAGGAACAGCTGCCATGATTACAAAAATATGATAGCCTCTTGTACAATGCCAGTTTTGAGACCCTATTATTAATTTTATGTTTAGAGAAAATATAAGATCATTGAATTTTTAAAAGAAGATAGTGTTGTCAGTAGCACAGGATGTGATTTTGAATGTCTACATGGTTTTCGTGACAGTTGCAATAAGTTAGACAATATGATATCCAAAACCATGACCTGTAGGGTGTTTACAAGATTTCAATAACAGAGCCAATTCTGAATTTCAATAGCATTTCCTTCTTAAGACAAGTTTGAACAAGTCAACAGTGAAGCAGATGTCCCCCGCTGAAATTGCAAAATAAATAGATGACACATATTAATTAATCGCACATTTATTTTTTTTACTAAGTTTCATCACTCTCTATTAGATAGAATCAACATTATCTTATCCCAAACCATCGACAAATGGAATCGCTCGAAATGTTAATCATTGAACTCAGTCAAGACATTCACCTAATGAACATCTACATCAAGTTTAAACATTCACCTAATAGACACCTACGCCAAGTTTGAACATTGCTTATTCCTCTGCTTACCCTCAGCAAAAAATGTTCATTATCGAACTTAGTCAAGGTATTGATATAATAAAGCTATACACCAAGTGTCCTCACTTTCACTTAATTAGAACTAAAATTATTGTGTCCCAAAGCATCAAACAATCAAACTGCTTATCTCTGCTTACTCTAAGCCGAAAATGCTCATACACCTACACCAAGTTTGAACATTCTAGCTCAATTAGAAGGTGAGTTATTGCTTATCGCTCTGCTTACCCTGAGCAGAAAATGCTCATTATCGAACTTAGTCAAGGTATTGATTTAATGAAACTATACACCAAGTTTCATCACTCTCACTTAATTAGAACTAAAGTTATCTGTCCCAAAGCATCAACCAATCAAATTGCTTATCTCTGCTTACCCTAAACCGAAAATGCTCATCTTCGAACTCCATCAAGGCATTGACCTAATAAACACCTACACCAAGTTTGAACATTCTAGCTCAATTAGAAGGAGAGTTATTGTGTCCCAAAAAGTGTGACTGATGGGCGGACGGACAGACCAACAGACAGACAGACAGACAGACCCATTTTAATAGTCCCCTGCTTTCTTCGAAAGGCGGGAGACAAAAAATATCCAAAACTCTCACATGTGGAGTGTTACAAGGTTTCAGTAACAGAAATTTTTGCTGGGCTACTCTCTATCACTTGAAAACAAAAGTAATAACGTTAAAACCAAAAGAAGAAATAGGGAGGAAGACAATACATTACCTTTAAATATTTGTCTTTGAAATGCTTTTTGAAAATTGAGCATAGTTTGGTATCATGTTTCATATTAACTAGATATGTCATATTTAATTTTTCTGAAATAGTAAAAATGTGCAATTAGCATTACAAGTTTTAACATGGCACATTTAAAATGAAATCAGATGAAAAAAAAGCTGAAACCATCACAAATAGCTTTGAATGTTATGGAGGGATGTTGGTGTCAGTGATGGTTCAAGATTACTCCCAACACAATCCGTAACACTACCACCAACAAATCTGTCCATTTCTCAGACAAGACGGACAGGTCCTGTGCACATCCAGACTACTTAATTTATGTTTGTTACTACCACGAAAGCATTCCATCTCACTTCATTCCATATTGTAACTAAAGCAACATTGTGTTTAACATGACATTCCCGACCGAACACAGCTTACATATACCAACATTCCTGTTCTTCGGTGGTCATCCAGATCAGCTACCCAAGTAACAACAGCGACATACTTGATATGCTCAGTTCAATTGTGGATGAGTTGTTTGGTCAACCCACCCTTGAAGTTGTGACATCCTTTGAAATTATGACTATAATTTAATATTCAGAATACTTCATGTATTATTCAATAGTTTTCTGTGGAATTGACATAAAATACTGACCTTTTAGTATACCTTCTGCTGCATATAAATCTCTTTTATGGGTAACCTTAAATAATACAGAAAAATAGTGATGAGATTTTGTTCCAGTATATTGTTATTATAATTCACCAAAGAAATCATTTCCAATCTTTGCATCAAATGAAACCAACCTGCTATAGCCATCTACAGATTACTGTATCCTACAAAACACCATATTTCTCAAATACAGAGTTTGAAAACTTAGTTTCTTGAATTAGTTGCTAACTAAAATGGTGTTGGTGTACAGGACAGGGCACTATTTCAAGAGAATATTGGTGTCAGTCATTATCACATATGGTTAAACACATTCCAAATATTATTTTAACACAGAGATCATTGCTACGATAGATGCATAATGAAGATTTCAATCAGTTATATAGAGGATAACGTGTGTTTTCCTTTTGCTTTCGTCACTTACGTTTTTTTTAAATTTTCAGTACGTATCTATTCTAGCAATGATCTCTGTGTTAAAATTATATTTGGAACATGTTGAACCAGTTCTATCACATATGTGATAATGACTGACACCAATATTGTCCATTAAATTATTAGAATTTCTAAATAAATATTCATATTTAACAACTGATTTAATTAAAGAACAATTACTGGTAATGACAATAAATTATTTCAGCTAGACTTAAGCGTACTACTAATCTAAAAAAAATTTTAAAATGATCTTTAAAACTAATAAGTTTATAATTTCCAGCCATGTCACTCTGAGTAGGCATGATTCATTATGTACATTAATGGAATAATATTTGTGAAGCGCCTCTGGTATAAAAGGAGATCTTTATAAATTTTAATCTTGTTTCACTTGGCCACATGTTAACAAGTTCTATCTGGCCTTCCAATTGCACTTTTTTTTTATATCAGCAATACTTAACGACATAATTGATTTTTATAAAGATATAAAATTATTCATGTTTCTATTCACAATAATCAGTAATAGCGATATTCATAATACATAAATAAATTCATTTTTGTATTCACAATAATCAATGATAAACAATTGATTATTATGGTTTTGTATACAAAAATCAATATTAATTTCTTTCTATAATTGATTTAGTTTAAATCAATCATGTATTCATAATTACCGGATCATAAGAAAAATTACATTAAAGATAGGTTGAAAGGCAAGGAAACAGCAGCTGAATCGTCCAGCGGTCGACGAGGCTTGTAGCATATTTTTTCTTTTGCAGGTAATGTGGTGGGGGGGGGGCATTTACAAGACAATTTCATACAGATTAGATTATAATTTTGTTTTTTGGGGTGTCACAAGTTTCTACAAACTGAAACAAGGGCCTTAACCCAGGAAGTGTACGTGACAAGGAGTAGGGTCACCTGTCCAACCTCGTGGGTTTTCTCCGGGCCTCCGGTTTCCTCCCACTGCTAAAACCATATGTTAGTCCCGAAATGACCTAGTTTGTGTCGAGTGGACGTTAAACCCCATTTGTCTCTCTCTCTTTAACCCAGGAAGTAATTAATGGAAATTACTGAAATTCAATAGGCTTCTTCGTTTCACTAATTTAAATGATACATATAAATTTCATACAGATCTGATGATAACTTTTGATGTTTGAGCGTTCACAGGATTAAAAGATAGGTTGCCAGGCAATGCAAGTACGCCCACAGCAGCTAAATTGTCCGAGCAGTTGACAGGGGTTGTCGCATATTTATTCTTTTATAGATAATTGGTGACATTTATTTACAAGACAATTTCATACAGATCAGATTATAATTTTCGTCATTTGAGGATTCACAAGGTTCTACAAACTGAAACCACAGCTTTAACTCTGGAAGTAATTTACAAAATTATTGAAATCCGACAGGCTTTTTCATTTTAATAATTCAAATAATGCATATAAATTTCATACCGATTGGATTATAACTCTTGTCATTCAAACGTTCACAAGTTCAACAAGAGCATCGCTAAAGTTGCAATATACGTCCACATTCCTGCTTTGATTGATATGGTACTTTTTAAAATGAAGAGAATGAAATATGAAATGGCTGTAATATGACAAGGGGCGAAGAAGGCTAGGCGTTGGGTTTGTTTTGCCAAATTTACAGACAAAATATTAACAAAAAAGTGGGTGTAAATAGTTGCTGTCTTTACGGTAAATATGCAAAGGTCCAAGATGATCCATTCAGAATTACAGTCTGTAGACGATAAATACAAATATTGTGCGTGGCTCTGCCCCTGGGGGTTGAATATGGCACATTATAAATAGGTACCACCCTGTGCATGATTGTTATGCTGAATTTGAACAAAATCTTTTAATTATTGTAACCTGAAGAGTATTTACAGATAAAATTTAACAATAAAGTGGGTGTGTTACCACACCCCTGGGGGTTGGAACATGCACCAAAATAAATAGTTGCTATCATTATGGTATAAGGAATAAATATGCCAATTTCCAAGATGATCCATTTAGAATTCCAGCATGTAGACAAAAAACACAAAAATTGGGTGTGGCTCTTCCCCTGAGGGTTGGACATGGACCAATATTATGTAGTTGCTGCCCTTAGACTATAAGGAATACATATGCCAAGTACCAAGCTGATCAATTCAGAATTGCGGCCTGTAAATGATAAACACAAAAATTGGGCATGGTTCTGCCCCTGGGGGTCGAGACATGCAGTTGTCGTCCTTGGGCTATAAACATTTTCGAAAATGAAAAATTATATTGTATTCATATTTTTCGACCCCGAAAACCCTAAGAAGGACACCCTTAAAGGCCTATTCGAAGTGTTTCTAATACAATATTGTGAAAAAAAATCGAAATTCACCTGAAAATGGCCGCCATTTTGGAAAATGGCCAATCCCCGACGGAAAAAAAGTGCTAGGTCAAAATTTTGCACATCATTTTGATATATTTGATCCCATCCCTAATAACAGACTTCAATTGATTCTTCATTTTATTAATATACCGGAACAAAAATATACATATATCGTCATACAGTATTGACAGGCCAGTTACTGCACTTAGTAAGGTATACTAACTAGTGACTGCATTCAATGTACTAATTTTGTTATATTTAAGGAAAATCAGATAAAAGTAAATGTTGTAATTAAAACTTACATATCGATAGATGAACAAGGTATTAAGGATTAAACAATATAATAAATCAACAAACACAATAGATGGGATTAACCTTGTTAACCAATGACAACTTGAAAAGTGATGACAGGTTAATGACTTACCAGTCAGTTGATCTTAAAGTGGTTAATTCAAGAAACATTAATTATATTAGCGATTGGCAGACTATCACACCATTATACAATGAACAATTTATTGTTAGGTCGTGTAGAAAGATATGGTGTTAAAACGTGTTGCAAATTACCATATTTCATGGTAGATCTTAACTTATCATATAAATTAATTGGAATATTATTTAACAGGTATAAAAATGTTTCCGTTTTATCCAATGAACAATTTATTGTTAATTCGCATAGAAAGATATGGTGTTAAATGTGTTACAAATTATCAACTGGTATATTAGTCGAGTATTTTCCAGCTACAAGGAAGTTGATGTTTAATCGAAAATTCCAATAAACAATTTATTTTAAAGTTAAAGGGAGAGTCCTACAGGTGGTAGACCATATTAAATGGTGTTTAAATGTATATTTTAATAAACTTTGTATGCAGATAGTTTATTATGCAGGTCTGTCTGGATAGAAAAGATTTTGTGTGAAACATGTGTCCTGGAAACAAATGGGTTCACTAACATCTAATATCTGGTTCTACAAATTGTATTTGTCCCTTCTAAGCTAATTCTTGTGCGGAACAAACCTTTCCATTTCATTGGAAATTCCAAAAAAATAATTTATTTTTAGTTCCAGCGGAAAATGCTACATGTGTTAGGCCATATTTAAATGTTGTTTAAATGTGTATTTTCTTAAATAAACTTGTGGGTTACTATCGGTCTATAAAGATACCAGGAGCGGGCTATATAGGGGTCCTGATTAGTGATGGGATTTCGCCCGTATATTCCGGGCATGCCCAACGCTATTTTCCAAACGTCCTAAATTGTCCAACCAGGAATATGCCCAATCAGACATCAAGACATGGTGAATAATATTCAAATTCCAAAATTAATATAGTGTATAACTACCACTCAACCAGATTATCGTTGATAGGCTAAATTGATTAGGTAATTAAGTGATCGACGTATTTATCGTGTTATACCGTCTATACACCTACCTTGATTAACTACTTAAACTGCCTTGATTGGCTGACTTAATCCTTTGTCTGTTGGGTGTCTGTTAGGGGTTCCCACACTATGTTGGGGGGTGTCTCTAAAAATGGGTGCAAAATGTTTTAGAAAAACTGTATGTAAATGTTACTTTCTATGGTAACGTGTGTCATTCTTAACATTTCATCAAAAAGTTAATTATCTCTGTAATTATTATTTGAACTTGTAATTAGAACTTGTTGTGAAATACATATATTACACTCTGACAGAAGGTTGTGAGACAAAATCTTCAAATGAAATGAAATGGGGTTTGGCGTCCTACTGTTCTGCTCCGACTGGGCTAATCAAGATGTGTATTCAAAGTAAAAATGGATCACATTACCATTTCTAGAGGAGAAATGAAATGCAATGTGGCTTAATGTCCTACTGTTCTGTACTAAGTCAATGAAGATGGCTATTTACCATGCAGTGCGCTATGAGGAAAATTTGCCCAGACAGCAGCGTTACGGCCTACTCATATTTCAAGTGTTCTTTTGTGAGCACGCCAACGCGCACACAGGAACTTGGTTTTTAGTGCTATCCGAAGGACTAGACAGTTTGTTATGAGACAGGTTCACAAAGTAAAACAAGGGCCATAACTCTAGAAATAATTGACGGAAATTGCTGAAATTCAATAGTCCTTCGTTTCACATATTTAAATGATGCATATAAATTTCATACATATCTGATGATAACTTTCATCAATCGAGCATTAACAAAGTTGAAAAAAGTGCAACAAGGGCCACAACTGAGAAGTAATTATTGTAATTTACTGAAATTCAATAGGCTTCGTGGTTTCACTAATCTTAATGATGCATATAAATTTCATACACATCAGCTGATAACTTTTGGCGTTAGAGTGTTCGCAAGGTTCAACAAAGTGATCTAAGGGCCATAACTCGAGAGGTAATTAACGGAAATTGCTGAGATTCGATAGGCTTCTTTGTTTAACTAATTTAAATAATGCATATAAATTTCACAAAGATCGGATGTTAATTTTTGGTGTTAGAACATTCACAAGATACAACATGTGGGCGTATAAAAATGATGATTATCTGAAAAATCGTTCATTTTAAGGAAAGTCGTAGCGTCATCTTGGATTTTAGCTATCTTGGATTTTGAAAACTCTTATTTTAGAGGTTATATTTAAGTTCAGTGACACTGAAAACCCTTTAAATGGCATAGTACAAGTCATATCAAACAGTAAAATGATGATTATCCGTAGCATCAAATATTTTAGGCTAATTTTTGCTACCATTTTGCATTTCCGCCATCTTGGATTTGGGGGAATTAATTTTAGAGATCAAATTTAAATTCAATGGCTACGAAAATCCTATATATGATATTTCTCAAGCCTTACCTTACGTGATATTCAACCATCTTAACTAGAAGTTCATTTGTCATTAAATTTTGGCAGCCATTTTGGAAATCGGACAGAACCCCAACCGAAAATGACGTCACAGAAGTGACATAGTCTCAGAATTGTCTTCAGTAACAAATTTTGCCTCAGAAACAACCCGTCCCCAAATATCGTTCTGATTGTGACACCCCTAAACGTTCACTAAGTTGTGACCCTGCCTCGCCGACATTCAACATTTTAAAAGTGACAGTCTACTTAAGACTTTTGTTGAGTTTGTGGCCACCGCAGCTGTACAGTGAGGACCACAGAGGCTGAGCGTATTCATTTATGCCAAATGAATAACTTAAAAAGATCACATACATAATTTGGCTAAAATTACTCTGAACATGATTTGGTAGTAAAATAAACCTTGAAAAAAAATGTTGTTGTTTGTTAGTTGTATTTTACGTCCGCTTCCACCGAGGTGATATTGCAGACAAGAAAAAAAAAATGCTAAAACATTGCTTTTTCTAGAATAACCCACGAGGTTGGGCAAACGACCCTACTCCTATGAATCAAAGGACATAACTCTAGAATTAATTAACAAAAATTGCTGAAATTCCATAGGCTTCTTCGTTTCATTATCTAAATGATGTTTATAAATTTCATACAAATATACACATTTTCTCAGTAAAATTGAAAGTTCGGTTGCCAGGCAACTAAACAGTCAACAAGAGTTGTCGCATATTTTTTCTATGAAACATTTATATTTATAATACACTAAAATCTGATTACCCATTAAGTAATTATCAGAAAATCATTAGAATTTGTTTGGCTATTAGTTCTGCCCCATGCTAACGTTTAGTATACGAAACATTCAAGTTATCAAAATTCATTGAAAATCAATATACTTGTTCGTCTCAAGACCTTAAACTGTGTTTATCAATCTAAAGTCAATCGGATGATAACTTTGGTCTCTAGAGCATCAACAAGATTTTTTCAAAGTGATCAAGGGCCATAACTCTGGTAGTAATTATCGGAAATCATTGAAAATCACTAGGCTTCTTTGTCTCAAGATCTTAAACACTGTGTATAAAAGTCAGTCAGATATTAACTTTAGCCTCTAAAGCATCCACAAGATATTTCAAAGTGATCAAGGGCCATAACTCTAGCAGTAATTATCAGAAATCGTTGAAAATCAACAGACGTCTTCGTCTCGTGACTGTAAACACTGTGTATAAATTTCAAGACAATCAGATATTAACATTAGGCTCTAGAGTGTCCACAAGATTTTTAAAAGTGATCAAGGGCCATAACTCTGATAGCAATTATTGGAAATCAGTGAAAATCACTGGGCTTTTTCGTCTCACGGACTTAAACACCATGTATAAATTTACAGTCAATCGGATATTAACTTTAGCCTCTAGAGCGTCCACAAGATTTTTCAAAGTGATCAAGGGTCATAACTCTGGTAGTAATTATCGGAAATCATTGAAAATCACTGGGCTTCTTTGTCTCATGACCTTAAATACCGTGTGTATAAATCTAAAGTCAATCAGATATTAACTTTAGCCTCTAGAGCGTCCGCAAGATTTTTCAAAGTTATCAAGGGCCATAACTCTAGCAGTAATTATTGGAAATCGCTGAGATCATTAGGCTTCTTCATCTCATGACCTTCAACCCTGTGTATAAATTTAAGTCAATCGAATATTAACTTTAGTCTCTAGAGCACCCACAAGCAATTGGGGTCGCCGGACCGACGGCCGGACTTGGGCGACGACAATATACAACCACATTTCAATGTGGGCGTATAAGAATTAGTTTTATTTACCTTCCATAAAGAAGCATTTCCTTCGATTATGTGAGCTTTTACATTGGAATATTTCAAAGCGAGTAGCAAACATTCTGTTCCATATAAAAAATCATCTTCAGTACACTTAGTATGAAAAAGATATTTGCATTGTATACCATTTTCAAAAAATTTCATAATCAATCAAAATATTATGACAGAAAGTTATTTAGTTGGGACAAGGTAAGTTGATGACTGATAAAGTGTTGTGCCTTTCATATCAAGTTTATATTTTCTTCCTTGTGACTGATGCACCTTTCATATCCAATTTATATTTTCTTTCTAAAGAGCCACAGCAATATACTAAATTAAAGATAAGTCAATACTTATCCAGTATATTTGTGTTTCTCATATTAAAGCTTTATCTGGTAAAATAAGTTTAATTGAATTTCTAAAATGCTGTACTAACATGACATTGAAATCATGTGAAGGAGTAGGGCTGTACGATATTGCAAAAAGGCACGATATCGATATTGGCATTTGTTTTAACGATATAGTTAAATATCGCAATATTTAATAATAATGTCACTTTGCTATTAAATAAACTAAATATAAATGCATTAAAGCTGACTACAGTGTGAGTAAGAATTGTGGGTAAGAATTGCTTTATTCATACACTTTAAACTTTGCTTTTTTTATAATATAGATTTATCAAAATGAACAAAACAACATCCTTTTTGGATAAAATCGTTTCAATGCTTTTTAACACAATAACAGGAGACATTACTTATGCCTGTACATATAATTAAATTAAATACAACCGCTGATGTTTAAAAAGCGTCTGCTCGTGACCTTGTGTAAGAAAATTCTCAAATATCACGTGCAGTGGAAGTAAGTAGATGCGGTCTTCAAGTCTTGTATTGTAAGTTCAAACAGTTTAACAAATACTAAATGATCCGGACTATCTTTCATTCAAGCATTCGATTGGCTGCGGTTGGCCTAACAGTGACAGTAATCTATTTTTAGATCGTTTTATTCTTGCTTTCAGAAATTAGGTTTCGTAGCGTTTTCTAAAAATATTTGTTTTTTTAAAAATATGACAACCTATTTATAGCCTGGTAATTAGCCACGGTAGTGGTAAATTCCAGGCGTTTAGTAGGCCTAAGCTTTGCATGTAGTAACAACTGATAATTTATTGTCGACTAAAAAAAAAAGTAAAAGTAACGCATACACCATGCAGTGAAAAACGGCTGAGGACACTGCGCAAGGGTTTTCAACATCTAACGATTCTTAAAACATTAGTTTTATTGTAGTTTATTGCCGTTGGCTAATTTCCACTGCTGTCTAGTGTATTTATTATCTATTTTTATGATTTTTTTTCTGATATTTGAAGTTTTTGGGGATATTTGATAAAACACTATATCGATGATTTTTGGCCACATGATATCGTTGTTGGGTCTGAAAATACCATATCGCTAAAATGACTATATCGAGAATATCCTACAGCCCTATGAAGGAGCAACATAAAAGAACATCATCTCTAAAATGCTGTATTCTTTGTTTATCTGCTGGTATATTGGGTCACCATACCTTATTATATGCATTTGTAATGAGGTTATATTGGAAAGCTTGTGGCATTTCACTACATCTATATAAACTTCTATCTAATGATTTAGCTAGATGTTTGTCTGGACCAACAGCAACTACTGTAGACACCAACGGTCTAGTTACACCAGCTGCCTACAAAATACATTTATATATAATATAGTAAGCATTATCCTCTATATACATGATTTTCATTTAAACAGCCAATACAATATCAACATGAATACATGTACCTAACAGTTATTGATCTTATGGCATAAAAGCTGAAGTCCATTAAATGAATAATTAATAACAAGGCAGGTGAGATTCAGCTGCACAGTGATAAACAAAGCATAATATTTTGTTGATTCAGGAAGGTATAATAATGCAATTAGCAGTTCATTCATAATCCTTCTGATCTAATTTACTCTCTTTCTCCACTAAAGACTATTATGATCTCCATGGTTGGGTAACTTTATAATTTAAATTTTAACCACTTTAATGACCTACATGTATTCAGTATTCTTATAACAGCAATAAAATATAGATTAACAAGATATCAATATTAATTGACTGTCTCGATCCATCTATGACGTGTTTTGTGCCTTCAAAAGGGTGAGACATTCAGAGCTTCTTCTTGCTTCACTTATTCTCCAAAAGTGACTTAAGATTGAGTCAAAATAAAATTTCTATGGTGAATTGACAATATTGTCTATATTTAAAAACTTATGTCTGTAGATAAAGCCAATCTTGACATTTTGTGTTCAACTTTTGATAGCTTAAAGTCAAAAATTAAACTATAAATCAAATATTACACTTATATTTTAAAATCCAGTTATAATAGTACAAAGCTTATCCTGACACTCAAATAAATAAAAAATCAGATCAACTCAATTTAACCCTTTATTATGACCCAAATCAAAGATGTGTATAAATGAAATGAAAAGGGGTTAATGTCTTACTTCTCTGCATCGATTGGGCTAATGAAGACAAGCTTATGCTATGGTGCTATGAGGGAAATATTGCCTGGATACCAGCAAAATAGCCTACTTATATTTCAAATTCCAACGGTCAAGGGTTCTTTTTAGTGCACGCCAATAATGAATACACAGGATGTTGGTTTTTCATTTCATCTGAATGACTAGACACTGTTCTTTTCAGGCCCCTGCCCTGCACCGCTCTGGAAAATCCTGAAGAACTTTCTTGGCCGACACCGGGAGTGAAACCGAGATCTGGTAAGTGAGCTAGCATCTTACTCACAGAGCCACCACTGCTCCCAAAGATGTTTATAATTAGCTCCTTTATGACAGGATTTGTGTCACTTTGATATTGCATTTGTAAATTACAAGTCTACTGAAATGAAGTTTAAAAAGTTGCTTCCTAATTTTTTGACAAATAAATTTCAACTGCCCTACGACAGAAATTAAATACCCCATGTAATTTAGCTGAAAGTGCAATCTGTTTCACCAATTCTTCCTCCGCAAATATCCTCACAGCATCATGGATCAAAACAATATCTGGCTTAGGACAAACTGGAAAATAATGCACAATATCACTGATTAAAGTCCACGACCATCCACTTCATAGTAGAATTATTAAATTGGTTTTACCTTTTTGTTTTGTTAATCTGCATTTCAAATGATTGAAAGACCAAATTGATCATTTCTCTCAAAAGACGTGAATTCGACAAAATAGGATTGTTGAAAAATCATGATTTTGTGGTGTTCACATGGGGAATAAAATATGGGTTTTAAAAGACTCAACGATATACCGAAGTTGCAAACTGAACACAGCAAACAGGCCATTGCATTAATTCAAAATGACATCGAGTACCAGTGCCATTGCCCAAGGGCGTGGATGGCATCGCACTACCATCCTGAGACTGGCTGCTTGTTTCCAGCAGACAGGGTCCATCAGATATTGGTAAGGGCTTGAAGAAAACATGTGAGCGCGTGCCGGGCAATTGATTAAGACATCCTTTAATTCTGCCCATGACAATCATCCTGAAAGTCAAGTAGATTGAGTAACAGGAGACAACTGAGATAGTTGCACAATTCATCACAAGCTCAATATTAAATGTTCTCCCATTTCCCAGTGATACTGAGGCATGACATTATCTCAAATAACTAAATCCATCCTATTACAATTACTTCGTCTAATTATAAGGTTGTAATTCTATAGTTTCTTTGCCTTGTGCATTTTAAAAAAAAGGTTTATTTTTTCATCCAGAATTTAACAATAACCTGTTTCTACCATCTTTATTCCGTTATAAATGGAACGATGCCTTGTGTCTGCCCCAACAGCAACATGGACTTTAGAAAAACTATATTTCGTTACAAATTCTTCCATCCAGTGAACATAATCCTTTGACACCACAACAATAATATACTTTATCCATGATAACCTGCAATGAAAACAAGTATAATATTATGAAAGGAAAGGATGTTAACATCTTTATCAACATACTATTTCAGTCATTTTGAAACTAACATAATTCCTGTGGTCACATGTGCAATAGTACAGATGAGGACGATTGAGTTTGTCCTTTGACCACAACGCTTCACACCAAATTTGAAAAGAAAATCAATTCGAAAGTACGTGGAATACTGAATAACGATGGGATTCATCCTCTCATGACCCCAATGCTTCACTACAAAGTTGAAACAAACTGTAGTGTAGCCTCTACCGATGTTCACAAGGTTTTGGAAACAAAGGCAGAAAATCACTAAACACTAAATATCGATGCTTCGTACCAAATTTGGAAATAGTGTGGCCTAAATCGTGTTTACAAGATTATTGGCAAATGGTGAGTATAACTCCGGAACAGGAGGTCATGCAAAGATGAATATCGATGTGGTTCATCCTCTCATGATTCCAATGCTTCGTACCAAATCTGAAAAAATCAGAGAGTCGTGTAAACAGTCATGGACCACAATGATTCACACCAAATTTGAAAAAAATCTGTCAAAAACTATAGCCTCTATATGTTCACAAGGTTTTTGGCAAATGGAGGATAACTTCAGAATAAGATAGGTTGCCAGGCAACGAAACATATGCCCACAGCAGCTAAATCACCCGAACGGTCGACAAGGGTTGTCGCACATTTATTCTTTTGTAGATAATTGAGGTCATTTATTTACAAGACAATTTCATACAGATCAGATTATAATTTTTGTCGTTTGAGGGTTCACAAGGTTCTACAAACTGAAACAAAGGCCATTACTCTGGAATTATTTTACAAAAATTGTTGAAATTTTATCGGCTTTTTCATTTTACTAATAATGCATATTATAAATTTTGCCATTTGAACATTCGCAAGTTAAACAAAGTAAAACAAGGGCCTTAAATTTAGAAGTAATCAACAGAAATTGTTGAAATTCAATAGGATTCTTGATTTCACTAATTTAAATAATGCATATAAATTTCATACAGATCGGATAATAACTTTCATCATTTGAACGGTCACAATGTTTAACAAGGTTAAACAAGGGCCATAACACTTCAAGTAATTATTTGAAAATGCTGAAATTCAATAGGATTCTTTGTTTCACTAATTTAAATGATGCATATAAATTTCGGACAGATCAGATGATAACTTTTGTCCTTCGAATGTTCACAAGGCTCAACACATAAGTCTACAAGTCCCAGTAATTATTTGAAAATGCTGAAATTCAATAGGATTCTTCGTTTCACTAATTTAAATGATGCATATAAATTTCATACAGATCAGATGATAACTTACGTCCTCTGAATGTTCACAGGGTTCAACAATGTTAAACAAGGGTGATAACTCTAGATGTGATTAGTGGAAATTGCTCAAATTCAATAGGAGTCTTCGTGTCACTAATTTAAATGATCTGTGTAAAGTTCAGACAGATCGGATGGTAACTTTTGTCATTAGAGCATTCACAAGGCGCAACAAAGTGAAACAAGGGCGATAACTCCAGAAAAAAATTATGAAAATTATTGAAATTAAATAGGCTTCTTCATCTCACTAATGTAAACAACATACCGGTATATCAATTTCATAACAATCAGATGAAAATGTAGACTGTAGAGTGTTCACAAGAAATTGTGGATGACGGACGGACAGAGGCGACGGCAATATACGACCATATACGACCATTACATATTTCCATGTCGATGTATAAATAAAAGTCGCAAATTGCTGAATATAGATAGGCTAGTTCGTCCTCTCATGACCACAATGGTTTACAATTAATTTGAAAAAAAACAAAAAAACTGTAGCCACTATTGCATTCACAAGCCAGTTGATGCACAGGCAGACAAATCGATGGACGGAGTGACACTGACAGAAATTAGGGTTACGATATAATATGCCCACATTTCACTGTGGGGTTATAAAAAGTTGTCATCTAAATCATGGTTTCCCCTTTTCAGAGGTGCGGGACGCAGGGCTTGACAAAGACAGTTGTCTAGTCATTCAAAAACAAAAAGATAGGTTGCCAGGCAACGAAACATACGCCCACAGCAGCTATATCGTCCTGGCAGTCAACAAGAGTTTTCACATATTTTTACTTTTTTCGGTAATCAAACATTTATAATACATAAAAAAATCTGATTAAGAGTAACATCTGATTAAGTAATTATCAGAAAAACATTAGAATTTGTTTGGTTTTTATAAAGTTCTGCCCCATGCTAACGTTTAGCATATGAAACTTTTAAAATCATGGATTTAGCTGTTCAAGTCATAAAGAGTCATTGAAAATCAATATACTTGTTCGTCTCAAGACCTTAAACTCTGTGTATCAATCTGAAGTCAATCGGATGATAACTTTAGCCTCTAGAGCGTCACAAGACTTTTCAAAGTGATCAAGGGCCATAACTTTGGCAGTAATTATCCGAAATGGTTGAAAATCAATATGATTCTTCATCTCCTGGCCTCAAACACTGTATATAAATTAACTTCAACCTCTAGAGCATCCACAAGATTTTTCAAAGTGATCAAGGGCCATAACTTTGGCAATAACTATCGGAAATCGCGAAAAACCATAGGTTTCTTCGTCTCATGACCTTAAACACTGTGTATAAATTTAAAGTCAATCGGATATTAACTTTTGCCTCTAGAGCATCCACAAGATTTTTTGAAGTGATCAAGGGCCATAACTCTGCAGTAATTATCGAAAATCGCTGAAAATGAATAGACTTTTTCGTCTCATAACCTTAAACACTGTGTATAAAAAAAAAAGTCAATCAGATATTAACTTTAGTCTACAAGATTTATCAAAGTGATCAAGGGCCATAACTCTGGCAGTAATTATCGGAAATCGCTGAGAATCAATAGGCTTCTTTGTCTCATGACCTTAAACACTGTGTATAAATTTAAAGTCAATCGGATATTAACTTTAACCTCTAGAGCGCCACAAGATTTTTCAAAGTGATCAAGGGCCATAACTCTGGCAGTAATTATCGGAAATCGCTGAAAATCAATAGGATTCTCCGTCTCACGACCTTAAACACTGTGTATAAATTTAAAGTCAATCGGATATTAACTTTAGCCTCTAGAGCGTCCACAATCCGGGGGCGACAACAATACGATCACATTTCAATGTGGGCGTATAAAAACGAGGTCCCGTGTACATTGGCGTGCAGTTGGAATTGAATATAAGAGTACGCCGTAGCGCTGCTGTCCAGGCAAATTTCCCTCATAGGAAACTGTATGGCATATGTCCATCTTCATTAGCCCAGTCAGAGCAGAACAGTGGAACGTTAAACCCGGCCATTTCATTTCATTTCTAAATGATCATATTACCGGTATATGACCGACGGGATCACATAATGAGACAGGTTCGTCTCGCGTGGACGCCCGAAGTTTACCATGTACTATGTAGTCATGGCTCATACCTGTGGAATCCTTCGACTGTATAATACATCAATGGTTGATCCCAGATAACACTATATTGTTTAGGCTGGTGTAAACCCATTCTTTCCCCTGTTCCACCAGCTGGTAATATGACCCCGACGTTAAAGTCGATCCCGTTTTCCGACATTTTCGTTCTCGATGTGCGCCAACAACGATAGACCAACGATGGTGCTACTTTTAATTTGCAATCGATGACAATTGTCAGCTTCGTCTGAATTGGTTACTGCTATCCGGAAGTATTTTGTTTTAGCCAATGAACACCCATTTCATATTTGTGTTAGGCATTCTTGAATCTAACATGGCTGACGCTGAGTCCGCTTCCAAAGACAAGCCCAATGTTTGTTCATTTTCTTTCAAGAAGACGAATAAACGAAAGGGAAATAGAAGAAAAAAACAAAGCAGTAGTGAAGGTACGAAAGTATCATATAGCAAAACTGACATATTTTGTCCTTTGTTATGAAATTATCCAAATAAAAGTGGTGGGAATTTACGCCAAGTAAACAAATCGAAAGTACAGGTAGTTATGAGAAAGTGAAATGGTCACTTTTTTTTAACAAGAAAACAAATGTACTATATTTCATGTGATATATATTTCAAATGAGATATTATTCATATATACCCGGAGGACTAACCTAATCATGGAAAATCCAAGCACTTGCATTTTTTTCAGAGCTTACATGGCGAAGAAATTGAAAACTGTAAAGTATGGCCCTTCATAATATTATAATATTATAATAATAATAGGGTTGTATGTAACTTGAAACTGAATGTGAATAGGCCTATGTATTTCTGCAGTGTAGAAGAAGATCTACCCATATTTTGTACAAAATCTAGTATGATGATGACTGATTTAAAAAATATCTGCATTCTGAAAATGGAACCATTTTCTGGACACAAGAAAACATTTATCCAGAACTAAATACCAAATGGGATTAAGTACATGTAGTTAGTAGTAGTGTAAATTGGTTGAACAGTATTCAGTACCAAACAGGACCACTGACCCATATTGAAATGACGACTGTATCGTATCCCACATTGAAAAAGGTTCAATTAAGAGTTTGGTAGTTTAAATTAACAATAATGTACATTTGTAGAGTGCCAGATCCATCCAAAAGCATGGAAACCAAACCAGACACAGTTATTTCAGTATGCATTTAGTAGCGATACAAATTGACCCCAATTTTGTAAAGAGTTCTATAACAGTACTAAGGCATTGAAAGTATAAATGGGTATGTTACACTTATACTTAGTGTATGTTTTATCTCCATAAATAACTTTATTTTTTCTTATTTTTCAGACAGTGATAAGAGCGATGGTGGTGATGGAAATATTGCTGTGAAAACTGCAATTTTTAAGCGAAAAGTCAATCCTATGGTTCAGTCGGTAATCACTATATTTTACATTTAATATTAAGTCCAAGAAGGTTAAACATACATTATGCAAGAGCTAAATCTGCCTAATGTTATCAGAATTATTAATTAACTCATCCAGATCATAATCAACTCTCGATGCCAACGCTAGCCAGCGATATTTAGCGGAGTGGAATACATTTTTTGAAAAATAATTAAACATAAAGATGGATAATTGATGCTTTGTTTTTTATCCTACTGACTTTAGTAATTATGATCGAGGCTAGCCTAATATTCAATAGCTTCATTACTATAATAAAAAAGGCATTTTCTGAAACTGGATCAGATTCTAATATATGGAACAAAAGGGATTTATGATTAGAAACAAATTTAATCTAGATCTACTGTATGCATGCAGTCAGAAATAGACTGACTATATTTAAATTAATCCACAAATAGTAATCTATCTTACATAACTGAAGTTATATTCATGGCTCTGAAAGCAATATTTGAATTTCTAATTCACAATTTAATCTTATAGATGCTGATGAATTTATTTTATACCAAATTAGAGTTAATTTGTATATCAGTATCTATTTTATTTTTCTAGACAAAGAAGGTGAAACTATTTAATGCTGATAAATACAGTTCTAGTAGTGAAGATGAAGCTGGCACTATGTCTGTATCATATAAATCAAGCAGAACGGGGGTAATTATGTCTTCTCTAGATTCTCTATTTTTCTTATTGTGAATTGTTAACATGATCTGATGATGGATCAACTAGTGGGTAATGTTAGGGTACAGGTGAGGTAGACAGGATGTCTTATCAGGGTAACCTTGTTTGACTGATATCTTGTTTTAGAGACATTGATTAAAAGAATCACATAGACTAGGTTTAGACAAATGAACACTTGTTACTGTGAAAAAGACTGACATTGCATTTGGGTTTGTAGACAAATTGTTTAAACACAAGGCATTGATTTACTAAAACATGTGTTGAAAGCTTTGTGCTGTGATCTGTCTACTCTTGCTGCCTACTCTTTTGTTAGAAACTTTTATTATGTAATTATACCATGTTTTAAAATGTGTATTTGATAGAAAAGAGAAGGTCCAGATGATTCAGGTGCTACAGCAGTGGTAGAGATCGATACAGAACTAAGTAAAGATGCTCAGGCTATATATGAGCGATCTTTACAAGTTAATAAGGTATGAACAGTTTCTTTTTTATCCCTATAAAATATATCACATCTATATATATATTTGTGACTGTCGTTTGTCTGTCTGTCTGTCTGTTCGGGGTTGGCGGCTACACTAGGTCTGCCCAGAAATTGAAATTTGGGGTATAGGGGTAGCTCGGACCAGGGAGTAACATAGGCCAGGTGGCGTTAGTCTACCACTTCCGGTTTCAGAGTTATGACCTCCGAGTGAAGCCGGTCTGTTCGGGGTTGGCGGCTACACTAGGTCTGCCCCGAGTCTTAAATTTGGGGTATAGGGGTAGCTCGGACCGGGGAGTAACATAGGCCAGGTGGCGTTAGTCTACCACTTCCGGTTTTGGAGTTATGACCCCCAAGCGAAGCTGGTCTGTTCGGGGTTGGCGGCTACACTAGGTCTGCCCCAAGTCTGAAATTTGGGGTATAGAGGTAGCTCGGACCTGGGAGTAACATAGGCCAAGTGGCGTTAGTCTACCACTTCCGGTTTCGGAGTTATGACCCCCGAGTGAAGTCTGTCTGTTCGGGGTTGGCGGCTAGACTAGGTCTGCCCCGAGTCTGAAATTTGGGGTATAGGGGTTGCTCGGACCCGGGAGTAACATAGGCCAGGTGGCGTTAGTCTACCACTTCCGGTTTTGGAGTTATGACCCCCGAGCGAAGCCGGGTATCCTGCTAGTGTGAAATAAAAACACTGGTAGTAGTTAGAATCGATTTTATGCAGATTGGAATACTGCTCCGTTGACAAAATTCCCCTTTCTGTTTAAATTCATTTTACATGAAGTTTATTAAGGTTAGATTACAATAGGATTTCATTTGTCATTTGTGATTTTTACAGTACATTATAAGCTAACCTACTTTCTGTCACAATCCAGCTTCATCAGTGACAGTTCTATGTATATCAACTTGTCATACTATAGATGGGGGGGGGGGTCGAGTGAATATCTAATGCAACATTTTAGTTTTAGATCATAAGGTCTGTCATTGAGTCAAGTGGTGTGGTTTTTATACCCATTTTGTGGATTTTCTCTGGGTCCTCTGGTTTTCCCAACTGCTAACTGTCACAGCTTTATGCATAGGCTTATTATAGAATGCATTCCTATCTTTTTTAACAACTTTCTGATCTCGTAGATTTTATTATAGATTTATAAAATTTTAATTGAATAAAATAGTTTCACAACAGACTGTATATATGTAAATGAGTATATTATTTAACAGGATTTAAAAGGTAAAGAAGATGATAAAGTATATAGAGGTTTAAATAATTATGCTCAGTATTATGAGAAGAAAGATACAGCACAGGGAAATGCTGCTAGTGGAATGGTCAGGTAATAAATACTTTAAACTAAAATGTCAAATGTATTAATTGTTTTATTATATATGTGGTACATGCTTATCCTTGCTAAATATTATATTAGCTATAAAAGTTATATTGTTTATAGACCCACATTCAGAGGTGTGCTGGATGGGTAGGTGACATTTTCAGCCAAGGGCCCCATGCTAGCGTAACCCAGCCCTGATTTCCACTGATGGCTTCCAGATTAGATTTCATGACCAGATTTCCATAATATTTAGATTCAATTAGTCTGTGTTGTTTTTTTTTTATTACGCAGAATTATTTTAGGAAAATGAAAAAAAAGAGATGGAAACTTTTTTAGCTTTAGCATACTCAAGGCCAGTATGCTAACTGTTACCACAAACCCTACTGACATTTAATCCGTCATCAGTAAATTTTTGGCCATGCTTGAAGTAAACTTTTTACACCTGTGCCATGGCCGGTGTCCAAATCTTGAACATCTTCTTGTTTTTGGGGTTGTGTCAGTTAACTCTAAGAGCAGAATAGAATCGAACTTTTGATATTTGTTTTTCTTTATTCGTAGGTCATAGTCTTGAATGTTGTTGTTTTTATGTTCAAAAGTTTAGGACTTAGCCCACTCATAATCCCTCAACTAAGGGTCAATGTGTGGTATGTCATGTCAAATCTTTTCTAGCATTGTTATTGCAGATGGGTACTTCATGGATGGGTTGCTACTCTTGATCAGTTTTTGGTGTCTTGTAAATGCTACCATTACCTACAAAAGAATAAACATGTTTCAACATTTGTAGACTACCCTGATGACTTTGCTGCTGTGGGCATGTTTTATTGCCTGGCAACTGTCTTTATTTAATGAATTGGTCTCGGAAAAAAAATTATTTGTAAAATTTTGCACTGTCACAGCAGCAAAGTTATGTGAGGGCTAAAATTATATTAACTTTTTATACAGGAAAGGTCCCATTCGTGCACCAGCCCATCTCCGTGCTACAGTACGCTGGGATTATCAACCTGATATATGCAAAGATTATAAAGAAACTGGTTTTTGTGGTTTTGGAGGTAAGATTAAAGTAAAAGAATTGTATCTATTAAATAATGTGTGTAATCTGTTATATTGAATTCCCTCCCTTTTGATGTCTTCAGCATGAAAATAGGGTTCACTGGTAAGCTGATACCATTGACGAATGAAGCTATAGGCCTTTTAGTAAAGATAATTTTTGTCATTAAATCATATAAGTGGTCAGTATTCTAAACTAATGTTTAATATGTATAGAAAGTGGTTAGAAATTATACAATTGTCATTAGTTAGCAGGTGTGTAACAAGCTGTAAAAGATGTCACTACTAGTGTTCGTTCGTTCGTTTCTGGAGTTTTACGTCCACTTCCACCTAAGGTGATATCGTAGACAAGGATGTTTCCTAAGAAACTTGCTGGAGGAAGCCGTAGGGATTAGGCTTGATCAAGTTTAATTTGAGACAAAGTGTCTTAGCAGGGAATGCCCAAGTTAAAAATCTCATCGAAAGGAGAGGAGAAAGTTTTGGGGCACTACTAGTGTAAAAGCGTGACTATTTATAACACCCATCACTATAGAATACACAAACCTGTACAATAGTGGTGTATATCATTCAATAGTCACAGTTTTAACACCTTAGTGACTAAACACCTACTTAATGACTACTGCCTGATTACTAACAATTTAACTAACTAATTCACATGTATACAAACTGTGCACTTTGATCTATTAGTGTCATATATTTTCATTTAAAACAGTTATTTGTTGCTTAGTCAACAATATCAACGTTACAGTGGTTTAACATCCTATTTTACTACTCCATCTGGGAATATATCTGGCAGTGTGCTATAAGGGAAATTTTGCCCAGACAGTGGTACTACAACCTTCTCTTATATCAAATGCCTACATTTAAATGTTTTTTACATACATGCCAATTGTACACAGGACTTTGGATTTTCGTACAATCAGAATGACTAGATTTAAACTTAAATATATTTTTCTTTCAGACAGCTGTAAATTTTTACATGACAGAAGTGATTATAAACATGGTTGGCAGTTAGAAAGAGAAATGACAGAAGGCAGATATGGACAAAATGGTCAGTTTAGAATGAATGTTTCCTTTAATCTTGGAAATCAATTCTATTTTAGAATTAAACATTATAATACATGCTTAGGAATTTCACAAATTAAAAACACTTATATGGATATACTACTTCTGATTAGAGACTTAGCTTCTTTAAGGAATGCTAAAATGGTTTCAAAGTATTTAATATTTAATTCAATAATCACCAGTCTTGGTTTAAAAGAAGACAAACTAGAAATGTCAGCGAAATTGGCATCGATACATAGATATCTTGTGGTAGACAAATATCACAATATGTAATTGTTGTTTGCAGTAAATGAAAACCCCTTATTATCCTGTGCTGAAAGGAAGTTAGGGAGAGATATCAGCAGAAGCACTGTACATTTTCTCAGTATAATAATGTATATTGTATTTCTTAAATTAAAATACCAATCTCATTCATAATATTAAATGATAAAAATTTACATTGATAACTATCTAGATAAATAATCCACATTTATTCATTTTTTATTACAGATAATGATAATTATGAAATAAGTAGTGATGAGGATGACCTACCATTTAAATGTTTTATTTGTAGAAATTATTTCAAAGATCCAATAGTCACAAAGTAAGTTATTATTGATTTCTTTGTTGGTAAGAATATGACAGAGATTTTAAGAAAGTCGAATTAAAAGTTTTGACCATATAATAATGTTTACATTTGTACAGATAACACATCTTCGGTATTATTACGAGTCTGGCAGATATTGCTAAACTTTACATAAGAATTCTACAAAGTTTCAACACTTAAATGATGGACATTTCATGGCAGTATAGGCATTAACACACCTCCAGGCTATATCTGATGTTTTATGTAAAGTCATTAGGGGTTGATATTGAGGTAATATTAACCTCCAATCACCACATCCTTTGAATTTCACACGCACCAGGTAAGCAGCCGATGATACTGGATAATACCTAGTGATAATCTTTTTAGTTTATGTTGATGTGTAAGTTAGATAACAACCTATTTCTAATGTTGTTATTCCAAATAAAATCTGCTAGCTCCACCCTTATAATTTTATTTTAAATAAAAACCTGTTGGCTGAGTATAAAATGCTAATTATTCTGCCCATACTGCATAAATCCTGATTGATGAGAAGTAAAACTGCACTATAGAAATTTGTATGGAAGTTCACGATTTTAGATAAGATTGATTTGTGTATGTTATGTTATATTTCAGGTGCAAACATTATTTTTGTGAGAAATGTGCTTTAAGTCATTATAGAAAGAGTAAAAGATGTTTTGTATGTAATGAACAGACAAATGGTGTTTTTAATCCTGCTAAAGGTATAATAATTAAAGGCTTATTCATTACTTTCTTTGGGTTACACTTAATTTCTAGTGAATTTTAAAATATAAATAGAGTGATCTTTTAGTATTAGACACTTGTGTTAACACTCAATTTTTATTGAGTTTTAAAACGTAAATACATTGAGTGAATCGGTTCAGCAGTCAATCCAATTTTTATGCAACAGTCCCTGGTAGTGTGCCAAATGAGTCAAATCCTAATATCGATAGTTTGTTTAATACTAGTCTCATTAAACAGGTCTGCAGCTAGTCATCTTGAACTTTTGTCATTCAAACCATTGATCATTATAAATTATTCAATGTGTAGGCTTTCATTTTTCAGACATTATAAAATCAAAAATAAGTCCATTTCTATTTGAATTTAAAAGTATTTGAATCCCCCTTTTAATTTTGTGCATAGTTTATGTAATCAATATCTATATACCAGGCCCCGTGTTCACAAAGCATTCTCAGACTTAAGTTAAGAATTTACTCAAACGTGTTCACCTTATTTTAACCAAAATATAGCCCTTTATAATAATTTTGTTGCTTGAATGTATCAAATACATCAATAAGAAACTATGTGCAAAGTTTTGTGTTTCTGCATCAAAGATATTTCTCATAAACAGTGATTGAAAGTTAAGCAGATTCTCAACTTAAGTCTGAGAATGCTTTGTGAACTCGGGGCCTGGTCATTTGAATTTGAGAGCCTTCATCTCAGCTTAATGGGAGTTGTTTCCCCTTTATTAATTACAGATCTTTGATATTCCTCAATAATGCAAATATCTCTGCGAGTAACTGATTTGTTTAAAAAGTTATATTCTTATTATTTAAAAAGTAAAAAGCTTATAATGACATTTGGATCTATCAAAAATGAGTGGGTGGTGGATGCTTGTAGCTAAACAAGGTCAACCTACCTAGCTAGCCTCAAAGGTTTTCTCTTCCGGTTCCTCCTTCTTTTGTTAATTTCCCCTAAGAAAGCTTGCATGCGACAATTCCTATTTCTTCCCCGGAGAAACTGGGCTGACAAATCCCTTGCAACTTTCTTGGCCAACAGCTGGAACCAACCAGGAACCCCCTGCATTAAGAGGTGACTGTATGTAGTGAAGTTTATTATACAAGGGTGCTGGTTATAAGTTGTTAAATATTGTTTTAAATTTTAGAATTAATAGCTAAGATGGACAAGAAAAAGTTGAATGACAGTGATAGTGATGAAGTAACAAATGAAGTTAAGAATAGTGATGTAGAAAATGATGTAGATAGTGATGAAGATAAACCTGAGGATGGATAATAACACAGAATGAACACCATATAATTTTATGTAATCAACAAGGAAATCACATTGTAAATATCATATTGTAAATAAATCATTTTTTATCAAGACAGTCATTTGAATATTAAAGCCAGAAAACATTGTGTACATGGATGTGAGAGGAGGGGAACTGTACCCCCTATCTACTCCCACACCCAGAGAATCATTTGTATTCTTGACTATTGAATAATAAAGAGGGGGAGGGATGTACCCCCATCTTCTCCTACACTTTCAGACATTAGTACCTAATTCAAGTATCCAGTATCCATGGAAAAGTAGGCATACTCTGCCCTATATACTTAGAATTTCGATAGGTAGAGTAGGCAATAGCGCTGTCCGGACAAAATTTCTCTCATAGCACGCTGCATTGCATATATGCCCATTTTCATTAACACGGTCGGAGCAAAACAGTAGGACCCTAAACCCCATTTTATCTTCATGATCATCATGGAGCTTGGGGTACACTGTCTTGGTGAAAACATTAGGTCTAGCATAATAAGCCTTTTAACAATTATAATTAAACAGTTGGTGTGAAATAACTCCTTGTCAGATACGATGACCGTAAGTAACTAACGTACGAAAATTAAATGGTAGCTGGCTTTTTTTTCGCACGTATACAGTGAATGGCCATTTTGCTCAGTAATCCCAGCCAGAATTTGGCTATTTTTTTAAAATTGCGTTAAAGTTTTAAATTTTTGTTTAGAACTGAAATAAATTAACTTTTAGTCAATCTCCACACTAAAAACATTAACAGAATTGATTGTGTATATTGATTGTGCCAATATGCCGACGTCAAATCTAGAGTTGTAGATGCTGTTATTTTTGTGAAAAATCATTGGAAGAAGCGATAAGATGTTCTGTACGGATTATAGTCCTAAAGGCTGCAAGAAGGCTATTGTTTACAATGTAACATTGTGTCTTGTAATATTGATAATGATCATAATGATGGTGTTTACATTTGTTTGTTGATGTGACCTCATGACCTGTGACGTTTAGATAACGTCATATGGATATCATGGCTATTCACTGTGTCAGAGTCACTTCTCTGCAGGTAGGGTGAGTCTGTCGTTCAGATTGATGCGATGACGTGCATCAATATTTACAGGTACAGTTGCACTGTCAAGATTCCCGTAGACATTGACAACTCACCCAGAAAATCAGGGAATTATTTTGGCTCTTTTTATTGATTCGATATTATTACGACACTTTCACAACCTGGTATTTATTTTTAAACCCAGAACATCAGGGAATTAATTTGACTTATTGATTGACTTATTGATTCGATATTATTACGACACTTTCACAACCGGGTATTTATTTTTAAATAAAGTTGTATAATTATTTTACAAATCACAAAATAATACATGGTTGAATTCCTCGATTTTCATTTCAGCTGTAAAGGTTATTTTAATGAAAAGGGTGCTTTAAGTGGTTGTAGAAAGCTTAAAATCCCAGCACTCTAACCCGACCTTGTACATGGCTATAGAGAAATTTCAATAGACAGATTCTGTTAGATTCAGACACTGATCCTAAGCTAAGAATTCTGATAAAATCTTTCTAAGATAAATTCTTATGATGGGTTGATAAAATATGTTTCAATTCCCGTGGTGAACTATATTGTCTGCTATCAGTAGACACGTTGTCCTTCATTTTCTATTATCTGTATGTATTTGGGTACAGATCATTATTATAATATAGGATAAAAAAACCCATAGATTATTAAACACCATAAACAAATTATTAGTAATGGGCATTTATAATTGCTTTGTTTCTACAGACAGTCCAACGGAGACTGATTATAGTTTCTAAAATGGCGCTACACGTCTCTATTGTAGACCACAAGGTATTTCAGTATTCCAAAGCTGTATACAATTAGACACTTTTATTCTAGAATTTAAGCCTAACAATGTAGACATAGGGTAACTCAAGTTTTGCACAAATAGCCCAAGTACATTACTGCAATTGACAGATTTGATTAAACAACTACTGCCTTTAAAACCGTAACGGGGAAAACATGCAATTTACCAAAGATAAAAATATCTCGATTTCATTTCAGATGCTCATCAACGTTGTTGACAATAATTTGGAGAATTGCAATTCTCTCTAAACATGAGCGCCGATATTTTAGAATTTGCTTCAATTACTTAAGGTCTTTCATCGAGTCAACTCGCGTGGTTTCGATTCCCCGGTTGTACGTGACAAGGGGTTTGGTCACCTGTCCAACCTCGTGGGTTATCTCCGGGTCCTCCCCCTGCTAAAGACCCCTACGCGCAAGCGAATTATTGAAATAAATTTGAACCATATTTTAGTCCCGAAATGACCTAGTTTGTGTCGGGTGGAGGTTAAACCCCCCTCCCCTTCTTTCATGCAAGTGTATAAGCCCTTTTTTGATGTTGGAATGACGGACGAGTCTTTCAATGTAAACACAAACGAGAAACATATAATGGGACGTAATATGTAATGCTGTAAACTCATTAAATTCAATATTGGGAGACGATTCTGTTTCATGGAAAATTTTGCTAAATTAGATTAACTATAGTGCTGTGAACGTTATTTAAACAAGACCGTTTTAGGCAATCCTCTACTCTAAAATAGGATCACGAACTAATGGACCTTTGGTCTATATGTCTATGATCGGATTATCTTAATGTGAATGGAAGCTACTGCTCTTATTAAAAGTTATTGTCACAAAGTGACCCCATGTCCTCTATATTTTAATAATTACCCCATTTCCCAATTCCCAACAAACAACACAATTAATTAAATTATTTTCAATATGTTTATTATTTCAATTAACATATACAATTTTAAAGGTTTTCACTGTTCCTTTAATTTTATCAATCCTCCTGGCGAGCATTCAGATCATTTCCCCGTCCTAATCCCACCATCCAAATCGGGTAGTATAGAATGAATAAAAACAAGGGAATGTACGAACCATTTCCATTTTTCTCGTTTTCCCTGACATTCAATTACTTTTTTGAATTATCAGATATCCTCTCACAGCCTCACGTAACTTTTGGTCTTCGAAGGAATTATTAGTGAGCAGAAATTCGCCCGTGTATCTGTTATCACTCGTCACTTCGGTCATTTATATACATGTAGAAGGATAACTAGAGTTTTCCCTTTGCGTTCGTCACTTCCATTGCTTGAAATCTTCATAACACATCTATCGTAGCAATGCTCTCTGTGTTAAAATTATATTTGGAACGTGTTTAACCAGTTCTATCACATATGTGGTAATGACTGACACCAATCTTGTCCTTCATACCCGAACACAAATCCTCGAAAATTCACAAAACTTTACATCTCACAGATCTACATAATTTCTAGGATTCACCTAGACTCACAAGTTGTATTAAAATTCCCCAAGATTTAAATATACAATGTGAAATGAAATGAAATGAAATGGGGTTTAACGTCCTACTGTTCTGCTCTTAACCTGGGCTAATGAAAACGGGCATACGCCATACAGTGTGCTATGAGGGAAATTTTGCCCGGGCAGCGGCACTACGGCCTACTCTTATATCGAATTCCAACTGCCAAGGGATCTTTTACGTGCACGTCCCATCCGAACGACTAGACAGCTGTCCTTGTCAGGCCCCCCCATCCTGCATCACTGACAAGGGGAAACCACGCCGGAAAACCTGGGTGAACTTTCTCGGCCAATGCAGGGATCGAACACCCGACCTCCAGGCTAGCGAGCCAGTGTCTTACCAACTTAGCCCCTAAATATACAATGTACTTCACCAAGACTACATAGGCGTATGAATCACAAAGTTCACCAATATTAAACTACTAATATGAATCACAAGGTTACCCCTGGATTGAAATATCGGTCACCCAGACATTACCAGTATGTTATTTCATTAAGGAACGAATTCATCACAATTAAATACATCTTATTTATTTAGTAGGTTCTAATCATCTAAAGTCAGTCATTTGTGTTACTGTAGATGTCTAACCTGTATCTTATTTCAAACCTGGCAGCTGAATGGCCGAATGGTTAGCACTTGCGCGCTGTATCGTAAGGTCTGTCATTGAGTCAACTGGCGTGGCTTCCATTCCCCGGTTGTACGTGGTTTTTCTCTCGGTCCTCCGGTTTCCTCCGACTGCTAAATACCCCTACGCGCAAGCGAATTGTTGAAATAAAATTGAACCATGTGTTAGTCCCGAAATGACCTAGAGTGGACGTTAAACCCCATCTCTCTCTCTCTCTCTCTCTCTCTCTTCCAAACCTCTCTGACAAAATCTTTTCAAGTCGTACACCAAGAAACTTTAAGTCCTTTAAACATCCAATCAAAATTATGCACCACATGCATCACAACCCACACATTCATTACTTTACACCCTCATTACCTAACTTGTTAAAACATAGCCACAATCATTCTGTAAAAAAACAACGTATATACATTGAAAATAATTAAACTTTACTAACCAAAACCTGTACAACCATTAATAAATGTTTTTAAAAGAATAAATATTCCCTTTAGCCATGCACCAAATTAATAAGGACCCTATCACCATGTCACAATTATACATACCAAATGAACATACCAATTGTGACAGTTATTCACGAAATTCTGTAGCCGTTGGCAACTTTGTCCATAGAAACGTTAATTCATCTTCAGGCCTTTGGCTTTTGGATATCAGTAATAAGATCTGAATTTTCTTTCGTAACTTATCGTTGACTTGTTTAATTGAATTTTGTTGTGGAAAGTTAACGGAAATTGTTTCTTCAGAAATAGTAAGTGGACGGCCCTGGGATGTGTTTGCTAATTACCTATTTCATCATCCAAGAGGCTAACACACACAGCTTTCTTTGTTTGGTAAAATGGATTACCAGAAGGCATATGATTTGGATTTTGATCAGTACTTTCAGTACACTTCTAGTTTATCTCAACTAGACCGCTTTACAGATTTTAATCCCATCCATGCATATTTTCGCCGTTACAAACTTCATCCCTTTTATCGTCATCTCACGTGACCTTAATCATACAGACAGGTGCAATCCACTTTCTACCAAAAAGTTCTGGAGTATGCCATTAAAGGGTTATAGCTGTCTACCTTAA